GGGAGGGAAGGGGGTGGTACTGCACACTTTTAACCAACCAGATCTCGTGAGAACTCACTCACTATCAGAAGATCAGCAAGGGGGAAATCCACCCCCATGATCCAATCACCTCCCGCCCGCACCTCCTCCAACACCGGGAATTACAATTCGACATGAGATTTGGGTGGGGACACAAATCCTAACCATATCAACTGGGCAGTTCCTCTAGGAAGTGAGTGAATCCTCTCCTTATTCAGGAAGACTTCACAGCCTAATAGAATCAAGTGGGCCATTAAAGGATCTGTTACTAATCAGTCTAAAAGAAGGTCTGCGACATGGGTTTTTGTTTCGCTGCTGGGAGAGGGAGGAAAAGTAAGGAGATAGCTAACTTCCTTTTGGAATATCAAAAAAGAAAATTTGGGAATGTTTCTGAGTAATAAAAACCCATGGAAAAACACCAGAGATATAATTCTATTGAGATAGATTTTGACCAACTCTTGTTGAGATGTCAGTTAATGTTCGTGTGTTTCTTGACAGTTGTTAGCTGGAAAATAATCATTGAAAATGAAAAGACTTCTCACAATGAAGTAAAAAACTGGGTAACTATTAGATTACGGAAAAAATTTAATCTAGTTTATAATCATTATAGAGTTGGGTTTAAAGCGAGCTCCCCACAAACACTCAATTCATTTTCTTTTTACAAAGTTATATTAGAGGAGTGTACTTCATACGCATTATTACCAGCTGAACTTTGTTGTATTTTTAAAAGAAAAATTTTAGTCACTGAGCTCTGTACATAAAACTGAAAAAGTTGAAAATCAGATAACCTTTCATTGTGATTAAACCATTAATATATTTTTAAATGGTCATTGACCTGCTAGTAACATGGAATTATTGAATTTCTTGAATGAAATACTTAATTATATATGCTATGGTTGAAATTATGGTGTCCCTTCCAAAATTCATGTTGAAAGTTTATCCCCAATGCAACCATGTTAAGGGATGTGGCCTTTGGCAGGTGATTAAGTCATAAATACTCCCTCCTGGCTGGGCTTGGTGGCTCACACCTGTAATCCCAGCACTTTAGGAGGCTGAGGTGGGCGAATACTTGAGTCCAGGAATTCGACACCAGCTTGGGCAACATGGCAAAACCCATCTTTGCAAAAAATACAAAAAATAAAAATAAATAAATGAATAAAATAGCCAGGTGCGGTGGTATGTGCCTGTAGTCCTAGCTACTCAGGAAGCGAAGGTGGGAGGATCACTTGAGCCTGGGAGGTTGAGGCTGCAGTGAGCTGAGATCTTGCCATTGCACTCCAGCCTGGGTGACAGAGGGAGACTCTGTCTCAAAAAAAAATAAATAAATAAAAGTACTCTATCCTCATGTATGGGATTAATACCCCTATAAAAGGGCTCAAGTTTGAAGGGTACACTGTGTTGACCCTCTGTCCCTTCCACCATATAAGGATGCAGCATTCTTCCCTTCCAGAGGATGCAGCAATAAGGCACCATCTTGGAAATGGAGACTGATCCTCACCAAATGTCCGTGCCTCAGTCTTGGACTTCCCAGCCTCTAAAACCATGAGAAATAAATTTCTGTTCTTTATGAATTACCCAGTCTCAGGTACTATGTTATAGCATTACAGATGGACTAAGGCTATATATATATATATTTATATTTTTTTTTTAGGCAATATATTTATAAGGAACATATTATGGGGCTGGTTTTAACTCTTTAATTAATACTTTATTTTATTAATCATTTAAAGGAGACCTATATTTTATTTAAAACTATTTTTATAGATTGACATGTAACATTTTATACATGAGTCTAAATAAAATAATTTTAAAAGTTAAGTGGAAAAAATTACTACCTCCTATCAACTATTTCATATTAATCTGTTTTGATTCCACAGAAAGATTTGCCACCTCCTTAGACTAGCAGCTGCTATAGTCATGTGTCTGCCACATGTCCTTAGACTGTCTAATACTCAGAGCTAATAGAATGGATTATTTAGGCACAAAAACAAACAGAGGGGTTAGACAGAGAGCTATTTTTCCAATGAAAGAATTTATACATTTTATAATACACAAACATGAAAAATACTGCATTCAGGGGTTGCAAATGAAAGAAAAGTCTAGAGAAATGTAGATAATAATAAAAAGTATTTCCAAGGTCAAGACCATCAGATCTCTGCCAAACTCTTTTTTCACTTACATCAAAGTGAGACTTTGTCTCTCTCTGTCTCTGTGAGTGTGTGTGTGTGTGTGTATGCACTGTGAGGGAGACAATCTTCTTCTGTCTGTGTATTTGTGTATCTGCATGCACATTTGTCAGTGTTTGTGTGTCTGTTGGGTCTTGAACGTAGAATACAGGAAGTGGGATGATAATGTTATAAAAGGAAGAAAGTCCATTTCTATTGGAGTCTATCTTCCATTGTATAAGAAAAAAGAATATGTTTTTATTACCAAAAACTCTGAACAATATGTGAAATAATTGAGTGATTTAATGTCTATAGGTTTTTAATTTTTATGAAGCTATTTTATTACAAAAGAAATGTTTATTATTTTGTTTCAAATAAACAAATCCAACCAACCATTGATAATCACTTGATATATACCTTTCCAGATATTTTTGTGAATATATGATATATATCCTTCCAGACATTTTTATGAATTATGCATACATATTTTTGAAAAATGAAAATTTTTTTTTTTTACTGGTTTTGTTTTTTTTTTTTTTTTGAGATAGGCTCTCACTCTGGTTGCCCAGGCTGGAGTGCAGTGGTGCAGTCTCGGCCCACTGCAGCCTCCACCTACTGGATTAAAGCAATTCTTCTGCCTCAGCCTCCCAAGTAGCTGGGACTACTGTCATGTGCCACCAGGTCCAGCTAATTTCTGTATTTTTAGTGGAGATGAGGTTTCACCATGTTGGCCAGGCTGGTCTCGAACTCATGACCTCAAGGGATCCACCTGGCTCGGCCTCCAAAAGTGCTGGGATTACAGGCATGAACCACCGTGCCTGGCCCTAAATAAACCATTTTTTAAACAATGTAGCAAGAAGTCAATAAATACTTTTTCATTCTATCCCTAATACATAGCACAGCATGGAGTACATGGTAGACATTCAGAAAGTATCTGTTAAAGAAATAGAGAAATACTTTGTGATCATCTGTATAAGTTCTTTGCCATTTTCCCTAATTTCGAATATTTTTGTACTTATTTATGAATTCCATATGAAGTGAGGATTTTAGCCCTTTGCTAAATATGTTCCAAATACTGTTTTCCCTTGCTTATACTTAAACTTTTCTTTACCAAAAGAACAGAAAATAATACTCAAACATATAGTTAGACTTAGTCAAATGAAAAAGACGTCAGATTTAATGCAAATGGTACTTTATAGGAAATTTTAAAGAAATAAATGAAGTAAATGCAAAGTACAGGAGCGAAGTGCTGAATGTTCCTCAGTAGATTTTTTGCTCTATTTCTTTTTTTCTTTTTATTTTTTTGAAGTTGAGTCTTCCTCTATCACCCAGGCTGGAGTGTAGTGGTGCAATAATTGCTCACTGCAGCCTCAAACTCATGGGCTCAAGCAAACCTCCTTCTTAAACTTCCAAAGTAGCTAGACTATAGGTGTGTGCCAACATGCCCAGTTCATTTATAAAACTTTTTTTTTGTAGGAATGGGGTCATACTTTGTTGCCCAGGCTTGTCTGGAACTTCTGGTCTCGAGTGGTGGTCCTGCCTTGGCCTCTGAAAGTGCTAGGATTACAGGTGTGAGCCACTGTGTCTGGCCTCTGACTATTTAAAGAAAGATACAGGAATGACTCATAGATGGTAATGTAGAATATATCTAAGAGCAGCAAATTTTTGAGTTAGACAAATTGGTTCTTATTTTATTTCTGCCCCTGGGCAGCTGACTGATAGGGTAGAGTCACTTGATGCCTCTGAGCATCTGTAAATTGGGGACGCTCAGGCCTCTCTCCCAGAGTTGTGCCTGGAAGTGCTCTGCAAATGGTCTCTGTCTCTTTGTGAATTCTGTCCCTTGATGAATATTTCCAAATTGGATACATATGTTTAAATATGAGGACAAACTACTTTTTGAACCCCAGGATGTGCTGTGGTTCTCTGCCAAAAACTTGAAGATAACATGAAAAATTGTGCGTGTGTGTGTGTGTTTTGGTTTTGCCATAATTTTTTTTAACACCTGGGTTTTATGGTGTCATGTTTTACTCCTCTTAGTGAGAAGGTTTTTGTTTTTTTTCCTCTACTGACTCTGTTGACTGAAAGCAAGTACTATGTGCTCTTAAGTTTCCCCTTGAGAGAATTTTGGTATCATGAAATGGAAGTACTAGTACAGTTTAAAATGGAAAAAGCTACTGAACAATCCTTTAAGGATTTAAATATACTCCATTAACTTTTGTTCAGTAAAAGTAATATCATCAAATGGTGTAATCCACTATTGTTGTTACTGTATTTTTCTAGAACGTCACTGAATTAGAAATCTAGCTTTATGATTGCTGTGTATTGTCATCAATCTGTAAAACATATGAAGTCTGTCAAGCTCTCAAATGTAACCGTTGTACAAAGTCTACATCTCATGGCAACTTTCACAAAGTGGTGTCTTCTCAGCCTGCAAATATTTGTTCTGACACTGCTCTTACTTATAGGAATCTTCTAACATTTTGTCTAAGCACAAAAGCTTTCACTATTTTCATGAAATTAATTATAGACCTGTTGGGGGGATCTAGTTTACAAATTATTTTCTTGACAACTAGCTTAATACTATTTTCTTCCTAAACTGAAGATGCTTTCTCTTTGTCTAGCCAAGATCAGAATACTATAGATTTGGATTTAAGTGAGTGGGAATGAAGCTCAATACTAATATACTGTATGCTACCAGTATAGATGTTTTAGTTAAAATATTATTAAAACAATAATGATAAAAATATTTTTATTACAAAAAATAGTAGTTTTTTTGTTAGAACAACTATTGATTAGTTTATTCTCTCCTTATCAAAGGTTTACAAAGCCCTCTTGGAGAAGCAGCTTCCTGTGGGAATGTGGTTAAATCTCCCAAGCTAGCAGAGTGTTTTTACTACAATAAGACAGTGATTAATTGTGTCCCACTGGGCACTGGCCTGATAAGGTAAGAGACTAACCCTGCCTCCAAAGAATTATTGCAGTTGCCACAATTTTCTGCTTTATATCAAGAGGTTAAGTGACCTAGGAATTAGAATTCTAGAATTGTAGAATTTCAGAGTTATAAAGGACTTTAGAAATCATAACTCACATTTTACAGATAAAGCAAATAGTGTAAAATACATACATGTTACTTGTTAATTAACTATTTTAAGAATCTTTGTGGCCTTTGCTATATTTGGCTGTTTGAACATTAGGGAGTATCAGTAAACTACAAAAATTGTTTTTTCAAATTCTTGTGGTGTGGATTCTTCACCTCATCTAAGTAACTGAAGTGATAAGAAGGAAAATACTTTAAGAAATAAAGATGAAAATTATATGAATCCATATATGTGATAACATGGCTTAGAACTATACTCATACCATACACTAGTACATATAAAACCAGTGAAATCTGAATCAAGTCAGTGGTTTAGAGCAATGTCAAGTTCCTGGTTTTGATATTGTACTACAGTTATATAAGATGTAGTACTGGGGCTGGGCACGGTGGCTCAGGCCTGTAATCCCAGCATTTTGGGAGACCGAGCTGGGCAGATCACTGAGGCCAGGAATTTGAGACCAGCCTGGCCAATATGGCGAAATCCCATCTCTAAAAAAATTTTTTTGGCCAGGCGCGGTGGCTCAAGTCTGTAATCCCAGCACTTTGAGAGGCTGAGGCAGGCAGATCAAGGGGTCAGGAGATCGAGACCAGCCTGACCAACATGGTGGAACCCCGTCTCTACTAAAAATACAAAAATTAGCCAGCCATGGTGGCACACGCCTGTAATCCCAGCTGCTCTGGAGCCTGAGGCAGGAGAATCACTTGAACCTGGGAGGTGGAGGTTGCATTGAGCTGAGATTGCACCACTGCACTCCAGCCTGGGTGATGGAGCAAGACTCCGTCTAAAAAAAAAATTTAAATGTAGTTATTGGGGGAAACTGCATGAAGGGCAAACAAGAACTCACTGCTAACTAAAACAAAAATTAAAAAATATAGATAGCTACTATGAAATTGCTTTTTTGACACGATTAAATATTTATAAACTATAGGTGGTTAGAATTTAATATAAAAATAATTACCACATGAGATACTGCTTTAGCTTTCACCCCTTTGATCATTCCTCATGACTCCCTAACTGTTAATATTTTCACAAGTTTTTTCTTCTTGACGCTCTTCATAGAAAACTGATTAATATCCATGGTTTCGGGGGCCAGCTCTATGTTGAAGTCCCCAGATCTTTCTGTCTGGCCCAGAAGTCCCATTCAAACTCCAACTCTTTACTAGATTGCTCTTGCTATATCTTTGCATGGTGTCTTACACAAACAGTAGGCTTTCAAGAAATATTAGATGAATGAATGAATGAATGAATAAATAACTTTTCAAATAGCTATACGATATTTATACTTGAAAGTCTCACAGTCTTCTAAATTCGAAATATAGCAAAACAAAACCAGAATTTCTTCCCACTAAGCTCACCCACCAAACTTGCTCACTCTGGCAATTTCCGTATTTCTCCCATTTCTACTATTTTCTAATCCAACCAAGCCTTTAAAATGTAAGCTGCCTTGGACTCTTCCTTCACTTTTATTTACCATATATGTCTAAGCAGTTATCTCTTGTGTCCATTTTCCTCTCAAATATCCTTTATATTCGTCCCTTCTATTTCATTTCTATGGCTACTGTGTTTTTGTTGTTGTTGCTAAATGTTTCTCATTTTTCTCCCTGCTCTTAGTCGTGATTCCTCTTTGGTCTATTTGGTATACTAACTTCTGGTAAATGTTTCCAATTGGCCAGGTCACCACACTAAGAGCGTGATCATAATCCTTGATGCTACTTATGGAGTGCTCACTGTATACCAGGCACTGTGATACTTACTGTACATATATTATCTCATTTACACTTTATGACAGCCCTATGAAGCAGGCATCATTTATCCCCATTTTATAAATGAGAAAACTGAGGGTCCAAGAGATTTACAAATGTGCCACATTGTTTAAGTAGCAGAGCCAGGATATGAACTCGTTAGCCTGTTTACAATCATTATGAAACACCATTCTCCTAAATATAAATACATTTTGTTCCTTCATTAAAATATACCCAACAGAACCTCAACCTGGCAAAAATAGAAGCTCAATGAATCGCAGGTATTGAAAGCACTTTATTAAATGAGTTGAACAGAGCAGGGTGCATGCTGAAAGCTCCCACTGACCTTCAAGCCTGCACCTTCCATTTGTTCCAGCTCACAGTGCCCCACTCCCACCCCTTTCAAATCTCGGGGAGATTTTATAGTTATTGTTGTTGCCCTCAGGTAATAAATAAATACTCTTTTTTTAAGTAATTGAGTTGAGTTTGCTGTAATAAATAAATAAATAATAATAATTTTTTTGCTGCTCTCAGGTAATAAATGAGTAGTCTTTTGATTTTTGTAACTGAATCCAGTTCGGTGTAATAAACCAAACGTTAATCTCATTTCATTTAAAACTTCTTCCCATTCCCAGTAGAGTTTTGCTCCAGGCTTGGAAGTCTACAGTGGAGAAGTGAGGGAACTTTGGTCAGCTGCTTTTCCTCTCCTCAGCTCCCCTTCTCCCTCATCGGTTTCTGTTTTTGGCCTCTTCAAAGCTGCAAGAGGGAAGGACAAAAAGGTAAGATGGGAAAAGTTCTTACTTAACTGCATAGTTATGACTGACATTAGTGCCCTTAGGAGTGGCAAATAACCCAAGGTTTTGTCTCTTGGAAGCCTTCTGGGAGCCTCTACAGCATTTCTGGCCAGATAACAATCTAGTCCCTGAGTATCTAGGAGTCGGCCTGACACTGCCTCTTCAGATGGAGCCTGCTGTGAGAATTTCAGACTGGCTCCCTTCACTTATGCTTGCATCAAGTCCACAGCTTGCTGTGAACTTAGCCTTCTCTCTCTTTACTCTAGACCACAACATGCTCATTTCATTCCAGCCCCACTGTCTGCTTACTTTCCTCTCCCACGTTTCCTCCTCTCTGCCAATCTCAATGTAATTCCCATCTAATCGCAGTGCATACCTTTTTCCATGAAGTATTTCCTTATTTATTCCTTCCCACAGTGATTTTCCCAAACGAAAGTCCCAAGCTCTCTAGTCTGTACCAAAAGAAAAAAGAAGAAATCAGTTTTACTTAAGAAGCTTGAGTACATATATTAAATATGGACCCCAGGGTACACATCATTTTTAACATTCCACGTAATTAAATATGAAGTAAGCATAGGCACTTCTGCTGCTTACTGAAACACATGATTGCCTCAAAGAAATGCACTTGTATAATTGTTTGAGCTGTGAGCTGCTTTTTTTTTTTTTTCATGGAATGTCATTTTCACTTGAAAGAATGACAGACAAAAACACCCAACTATGGTTATAGGGAGCTGGGTATTTGGCAGGTATTTTCTCGAATGTAAAAGAAGCATGTCTGTCATTTGAAGGAAAACAATTGACAGTGTTTATTGCCAATAATAAATTGAGCTTTAAAGCAAAAATTAGAACTTGGGAAAACTTGCATCCAGAATGATGAGCTTGACAATTTGTGGTGGTTTTGTAGCTGTGGCTACACATTCTTCAATACTGTGCCCTTCAAGAGGCAGAGGTTACCTTCCCTCCCCTTGATTGTGGAGTTGATTGTTTCTAGTGATGAGCTATCATATTGAGATTAGTTATAAAATGACTGTGGCTCCCATCTTGAGCGGACTGTCTTGTTCTCTCTCTGTGTCTCTCTCTCTCCTTGCCACTCCTCTTTCTTTTGAACTGCTCACCATGGGACAATCCGCCAGGTTGTGAGGTGGCCCTGAGAGAGGGAAGCCAGCTGAGGACAGACTCAAGCAGCCTATGGAGAGGCCACATGGTAAGGAACTGAAGGTTCCCAGCAACCATGGGAATGAACTTGGGAGTAGATCTTCTGAAGCAGCCAAAAGGCGCATGAGTGAGCTTGGAATTGGACCATCCCTCAGTTGAGTCCTAAGATGACCACAGCCCAGCCAACAGCTTGACTGTAACCTCTCGAGTGATTTCAAGCCAGAACCACCTAGCTAAGCCACTCTTAAATTCCTTACCCGGAGAAACTGTGAGATAATAAAAGTTTATTGTTTTAAGTTGCTGAGTTGGGGTAATTTGCTATGCAGCAATAGATAATTAATACAACAGGTTTCTAATATTTAAAGCTTTTCTGATAAGAGCAGTGGTGATATTAGCAAAGATTTGTCTTTTGTTTTGGGACTTTTTTGGGGGCACTTATTATAAAATTAAACATGTCAATAAAAGATCTTGAGAGAACCAATATTATTCAAATAATCAATGCATGATGTTATAAAATTATGCATTAGTAAATGAGCCATTCAAAGTGGAGGATAGATCTATAAATTTTAATGTAACAGGGCATAAAAAGTTCATTGATGTGGTATTTAGGTTGCACCTAATCTTTAAGAAATTACCATTTTGTTTTGTTTTGTTTTGTTTGGAGACAGGGTCTTACTCTGTCCCCTGACTTGGAGTGCAGTGGTGCAATCCTAGCTGTTAGATTACTGCAACTTTGAACTCCTAGACTCAGTGCTGCTCCCATCTCAGCCACCTGCACAACAGACTAATTTTTAAAATTTGTTGTAAAGACAGGGTCTCGCTATGTTGCTTAGGGTGGTCTCAAACTCCTGACCCCAAGCAGTCCTCTTGCCTCGATCTACCAAAGTGCTGGGATTACAGGCATGAGCCACCATGCCAAGGCATCATTTGTTGAGTGCTGCTGTAGGATCAAAGAGTAATGCCCACTGTTATCTGGAAAAACTATTACAATACTCCTTTCTTTTACAATTACATATCAGTGTGAAGCAGGATTTTCTTTATGTATTTCACCGAAAACAACGTACTGCAACAGCTTAAATTCAGAAGCAGATAGGAGAAACAAATGTTTTCTATGGTACTAGACATTGAAGAGATTTGTAAAAATGCAAACAGTACCAGTCAGCTTACTGCATTTTTTATTTTAGAAAATAGTTATTTTTCATAGAAAATGTTATTATTTTGCTAGTTTTTAAATGAATTGTATTAGTTTTATTTTGTTATGTAAAAATTACCATGATATGACAGGGTGCGGTGGCTCACGCCTGTAACCCCAGCACTTTGGGAGGCCAAGGTGGGTGGATCACGAGGTCAGGAGATCGAGACCATCCTGGCTAACACAGTGAAATCCCATCTCTACTAAAAATACAAAAATTAGCCAGGAGCGGTGGCGGGCACCTTTAGTCCCAGCTACTCAGGAGGCTGAGGCAGGAGACTGGCATGAACCCGGGAGGTGGAGGTTGCAGTAAGTCGAGATCATGCCACTGCACTCCAGTCTGGGCGACAGAGCGATACTCGATCTCAAAACAACAACAACAAAAAATTACCACAAGATTTAGCAGCTTAAAACAGTTGATATTTATTATCTTATTGTTTCTATGGGTCAGGAGTCCAAGTGTAGCTTAGTTGGGTATCTCTGGCTCAGGATCTCTCACAAAGCTATAATTAAGTGTTAGTGGGGTGACAGTCATCTTAAGGCTTGACTGAGTGAGGATCTGTTTTTAAGCTCACTATATGGCTATTGACAGGACCCAGGTCCTCACTGCTGTTGGCCAGAGACATTGGTTCCTTGCCACATGGATCTTTCCATAGGACAACTCTCAACATGGTAGCTGGTTTTCCTCAGAGAGAGATGGGATTCAGAGAGAGAAAGAGCAAGCAAGACAGAAGCCACGGCCTTTTTGTAACCTGTTATCTGAAGTAACATTCCATTGCTTCTGCTCTATTCAAGGGAATTAATAAGGGAAGTGGATTACACCAGGGCATGAAGACCAGGAGGCAGGGATCAGTGGCCACCTAAGAAGCTGTATATCATATGATTTAACAAATATTTATTACATTTCTCAGTGTTTGTTTCTAATAAGATAATTGTAATAGATATAACTCACATAAACAGAAGCTATTAGGGAGTTCTCAACAATACATAAGAGTGTAAACGGGTTTGTTTGTTTGTTTTTGAGTCAGGGTTTCACTCTTATCGCCTAGGCTGGAGTGCAGTGGCGCGATCTCGGCTCACTGCAACCTCCACCTCCCAGGTCCAAGCGATTCTCCTGCCTCCACCTCTCAAGTAGCTGGGAGTACAGGTGCATGCCACCACACCCAGCTAACGTTTGCATTTGTAGTAGAGATAGGGTTTCACCATGCTGGCCAGGCTGGTCTGAAACTCCTGACCTCAAGTGATCTGCTCGCCTCAACCTCCCAAAGTGCTGGGATTACAGGCGTGAGCCACCATGCCTGGCCAAACATGTTTTTAAGACTAAAAAGTTTGAGAACTACTGCTTTAGAAATACAAATATTGACTTGACATGGTAAAGCTGCAGGACATTATTCAGGAGTTGATAATATATGCCTTACTTTTATTATTATTCATAACTATAAACCCTTACTTACAAAATAGTATTTATAATAGCACTATGAGATATAGAAATTCATATTGAAATATAGTAGCCTATGTCACAGGCATGTATACAGTAGATGTGGTATGAAGACTTCATACTGTATGAACTGTATATTTTTTCACATTTGAAAACACATCATTTAAATTTTTTAAAATGATGCCTATTCCATATATTAAATACTTAGATTGGTAGCATTCAATAATTCGTGATTTTATTATATTATTATTTTGTTGGATTGGTGTGTTATGTAGCTTCCTCTGGTGCCATCTCTGGGCTACATCTAGAGTTGTCTTGGACAAATAAGAATTATCCTGCCCTCCCTGGTAGAAAGGGGAGGGCAAAGAGCTGTTCTTGTGTGTATTTCTTTTTAATTGACTTCAGCTCAAAATAATTATGTCAAAGTGGCATATTTTGAAGTGGTGTATTCTTCGATCTTTCGCATGTAAGAATTATTTTTGTACAAAGTAATTTAGAAGTCTCTAAGATGATTTGTTGGTATTGGCTGAAAATAAATTTAGTTTCATGGAAAATTTAGATAAATTCACACATAGTGAATTATGTCATGTCCGGGCTCCCTCCTAAAGAGGTATCATCATCAACTTGCTGGCAGTGTTGGGTTTAAAACAAAGGGTGGGATGCATCCTTTTTCATTTTTATTTTTAGCACTGCTGAGTGAACATGACACTTTTCTATAGTTACGTAGAGTTACATAAAATGACCAGTTTTCTTTTTCATTATGTTTGAACATTGTTGGTTTGACCAAGGAAATTTGCTTAAGTAGTTAGGTAATTAAGTAATATACTCTATGACGATAGCTGAAGGGATTAAAATACAAAATCTATACTTTAAGTCATGCTCTGCAGAGGTTACCATCTTAGTAGACTTCTAACTAAAGATCATAACAATATATGGCGCTTATATATACATATACATATATATACACACACACCATATATATGGACTATATGTACTTAAAATGTATGTAATACTTATTTATTTGCCCTTTTTTGAGACAAAGTCTTGCTCTCTTTCCCAGGCTGCAGTGTAGTGGTGTGAGCCTGGGTCACTGCAGCCTTGACCTCCTGGGCTCAAGTGTTCCTCCCACCTCAGCCTCCAGAGTAGCTAGGACTACAGGTGTGTGACACCACACCAGGCCAATTTTTTTATGTTTTGAAGAGACGGGGTCTTGCTGTGTTACCCAGGCTGGTCTCAGAATCCTGGGCTCAAGCAATCCTTCTCCCTTGGCCTCCCAAAGTTCTGGAATTTACAGGTGCGAGCCACCTGGTCTGGACTTTGCTTTTCTTGAAATGCTTCAATTATAGTTTGCCTATTTCCTAAATGGAAGATTCTATCAGGAGATACTCAGCTGGATGGTAATGACTACAGATTGTTAAGATCCAAAAAAGAGAAAGATGTCAGTTCAAAATATATTTATAACACAAAGTTTTCTAAGGCTAAAATAAGACCTATATTTTAATCAGGGGAATATTTAATATTATATATAGTTAACTTTTTCAAGTGTTGTAGAATGCAGGTATCCAACATTCATCTCAAAATGTGAACAAGTTACTAATGAAAGAAATGGTTTTTCAAGGTTTTCTTTATAGTTTTACAACATGTGTGTGTACTCCTAATATGCTGTTTAGTTTAAAATGTTTTTGAACTTCATATAAATAAAATCCTGTTGTGCTTTTTTTCTGTACCTTGCTTTTTCTCATTCAAAATTATTACATCCCTGAAATTTATTCATTATGTTGCATGTAGTTATAATTCATTCATTTTTATTGCTGTATGGCAGCTATTATGCATGTATTATGCTTTATTAATTCTACAGTTGATGAATATTTGGGTTGCTTAAACTTATTAATATTTCAATTGTAGCAGTGAACATTCTCGTATCTAGGTCTCCTGGTGCTGGCGGGGATATTTCTATGTTTGGAAGCAGTGATCACAGCTATGGGTATCTTCAGTTGTACTTGATGATACTAATTGTTTTTTAAAGTAAGCATGCCAATTTACATTCTCACTACCAGTGCATGAGCATTCCTGAGCTCTCCATTATTGCTAGCCCTTAATGTAATACAGAAACAATGAAGAAAATGAAGAAATGCAAGGAAAACTTGATGAAAATACAATTTGTGGAAGATTTTAACATTTCTTTTTCAGTAACATGTCTAGTAGGCAAAAATTAGTGGGCTATAAAAGAATTGAATAGTACAATCAATAAATTCAACGTATTGTATTCTTGCATTATTTGACTAGAGTAATATGTCTCCTTTGTATGATTTAGAACATTTGTGAAAAAACTGGTATGTAGTTGGCCACAAAGAAAACCTTAAAATCAGAAAAACTGGAGAGTTTATAGACCATATTCTCAGATCTAAAAGCCAATCAAGTAGAAATAAATAATAATATAATATTAAACCTTAATTACTGGGAAGTTATAAAATGTAATTAAGATAGTCCTTGGAGCAAAAAGAAATCAAAGGAAGCATTGAAAATACCTCTTCTTTAAAAAATAAATGGGATATAGTGAAAGGCATATTTAGAGTACTTTCATTATTAAAGAAGAAAAACTAAAAGTAAGGGAACTTTGTACTTAACCTTAAATTCTTCCTGAGCATAGATTAAAGAAAAAGGAAAAAATATTCTCGTTGTTTAGTGCCCATTTATAAGTAAGAACATGTAGAATTTGGTTTTCTGTTCCTGCATTATTTTGCTTAGGATAATGGCCTTCAGCTCTATCCATGCTGCTGCAAAAAACATGATCTCATTCTTTTTTTATGGCTGCATAGTATTCCATGGTGGCTATATACCACATTTCCTTTATCTGGTACCTCATTGTGTTTTTGATTTGCATTTCTCTAATTATTAGTGATGTTGAACAGGCTTTCATAGGCTTCGTGGCTGCAAGTATGTCTTCTAATTGGGTCTTTTCTTCTCTTACACTGAAATTGTTGATCCCTAACATTATTAACCTAATAATATGTTTGTCCTGTACTCTAAGAAAAATAATTTCAAATAACGAAACCAATATTAATACTAACAAGAAAATGACTGAATGAGACTTAACATGTCTTTTTGGTTTATTGTCCTTGGAATGTGTTGTACTGTGTTTTAAATTCACTCCAAATAAATCCTTTCATGGTGTTATTATGTAACCAATTTGATATACAGTTTTAAAAACATTTTAGGGATTGTTTTTTAAAAATAAGTATTTTGAAATTGTTTACATGTATATTCTTTTGATCTCTACTGCATTACATATCTACATTTACCTTACTCATATATTTATCAATACTACCCCCATAAACCTGCTATACTTTTATTTTCTAGTCTCAGAGATATACAATAATAGACTGTCTGCAATTAATTATATATAATAATGGACAGTTCCCAATTAATGTACTCAGTATTATTTACCAGAAAACAGCAGAAAGGGAAATGTTCTTATTGTGTCTGTTTTCTGGTCTTATGGAGCTCATATTGTCTTGTTGGGATATGTCACATGAGCCAGTATTCACTAAAACGGGTTACAGTTTTTCAAACATAGTGCTTTGTGGGGGAAAAGTTTTCTTTCTGTAATGTTTGATAAAACATGTGTGTCTATGTGTATTTATATGTGTGTCTTATGGGTCTTAGGTGCTTGCATTTACATATATGTTAGTTGACTCCCTAATGAATTTTTAAATGATAAAATTTTTCAGCTTGGCTGAGATATAACTAACAGATTTTATTGTATTCATTCAGGAAGATTTTTAAAATTATTATTTTTATATATTTAGGGAGTACAAGTGCAGTTTTGTTATATGGATATATTGTGAAGTGGTGAAGATTAAGCTATGGGTGCAATCATTGTACATTGTAATAATGTAATAATGGGTACATTGTACCCATTAGGTAATTTCTCATCCCTCATTCCCTTCTACCTTCTCACCTTTCTGAGTTTCCAGTGTCTATTATTCCACTCTCTATGTCCATGTTTATGCATTATTTAGCTCCCACTTACAAGTGAGAACATGCAGTAATTGACTTTCTGCTTCTGAGTTATTACACTTAACATAATGGCCTCCAGTTCCATCTACGTTGCATAAAAATACATGATTTCTGGCCAGGTGTGGTGGCTAATACCTATAACCTAAGCACATTAGGAGACCAAGGTGGGAGGACTGCTTGAGGTCAGGAGTTCAACACCAGCCTGGGCAACATAGCCAGACCCCATCTCTATAAAAATTTTAGAAAATTAGCCAGGCATGAGGGCACATGCCTGTAGTTAGCTACTTAGGAGGCTGAGGTGGGAAGATCATTTGAAACCAGGAGTTTGGGGCTGCAGTGAGTTTTGATCACACCGCTGCACTCCAGCTTGGGTGACAGAGAGAGATACTGTCTCACAAAAAGAGACAAGATTTCATTCTTTTTTTATGACTGAATAGTATTCCATGGTATATACACATCATATTTTCTTTATTCAATTACACATTGATGCACACTTAGGATGATGTCTTTGCTATTGTAAAAAAGTGCTGCAATAACTGTAAGAATGCAGGTGTCTTTCTTATATAATAATTTCTTTTTCTTTGGGTGGATACACGGTAGTGGGATTGCCAGATCGAGTAGTAGTTCTATTTTTAGTTCTTTGCGAAATCTCCATACTGTTGTCCATAGCTGCATTAATTTACATTACCACCAACCATATATAAGTGTTCCATTTTCTCTGCATTCTCACCAACATCTGAAAGATTTATTGAGTGCCTATCATGTAAAACTACTGTCTAGGTATTGGGAATACACCCTTGAACAAAACAAAGACCCAGAACTTAGGGAATTTATATTCTGATAGGGGAAACAGACAACAAATAAATCTGGCCATCCTAGCATCTAACCAACCCTAGGCAACTCCCAAACATGGGTAACAATGCTAATGTTGTCGATTCTCTCTTCTATGTAGCCTGTTACTTTACTATAACTATTTGAAGACATCCATTAGTCTTTCCCATTGCTTGCTCCTTATTAATGGTACCCAACTGGAATTGTAAAATATAGTAAGTAAAGAGTTTTTAAGAAGAAACAAAATGTTATCAATATATCTGTTTTGAAACATATTTACGAGCTATGTAGCAGGTATTTATTTTTGCTATTAAAATGATTATGTGCCTTACAGGAGAATTTTATCTAGGGCTACTTTTAAAGAATACGCTCCCCTAATACATTTTAAATGATTCAATTTACAAACTTCCTATTTACACACACAAGTCTTCAAATTCTTAATGGAATAAGAAGGTCTATACATTTTCTCTTGTGACCCAGGATTTCCCAAGCTTGGCTAACCTATGATTGAAAGTGGGATCACAAGAATAATGATAACCTGGATTTCATTGGCCTTACCCCATCTGCAAAACTTCAAGTCTCTACAAAGGCCTGAATCTGCTGTCTCCTCTCTAAGTATTTTTGGGAATTCCCACGGGGTGTCTAATTATCAGGAACCAATCTGGTAAGCAGCCTGGCAAGTGGCATCTGCTTGGCCCTTTCAACTATTTCTATGAATACCATCATGTTTCCTTTGGGATCTGCTTTGGTTTTGGCTATTTTCTGGACACAATAGGTACCGCTACTGATGTAGCAACACTTTCAAAGAGCCAGAGATCTTTGGCAAAGCCCGAGAGAATGCCCCTTTTCCCTTTTTTGTTTTGTTCTCTGTGAAAGGAATACCCTAGTTGTATAGCTAATTTGTGTCCACTGCCTTAAAAAGTTTAGGAAGACTACTTAAGGCTTATCTTTTCATCCCATCTACTCCTAATCCCTATGGAATGTTGAGATCAAGGATAGCTCTGAAGGACATACCCCAGGCTGTGCTCAGAATTACACCTCTCCCCTGATTATTAAGGCATTGCTACCAGATTGGATTTGTCAGAGTGGGATGCCTTACTGAATTGGAGTTACCCCCCAGGAGGGTCCTGTAGTCTCATGCATGTAGGATTTCATCAGGTTGCCCCATCAGTTCTCCAACATCAGGACCTGTTTGAGCCTTCAATAGTAGATGTTGAGACTTCTTCTGCACACTCGATTTATATAAAACTTTTCACTAGTCTCTAAGCAAGGTGATACACAATCATACTTTCAATTCATGTCATAAACTTGGTATTTAATTAATTAAACATAAGTGAACAATCCTATGGAAATAATATTTCCTAGTTTTTTTTTTAACTTGGAGGTTTTGGGGACTTTTTACTACTAGATTGTGTACATATAATTTTGTGTACATATAATTTTGTGTACATATAATTTTGGATGGTTATAAACTATATTGTTTTACATAATGTTTTGTAAATTTGTTTTACCTACATAGTTAGATATAGAATCCACATTTTACAAACAAATGAACAGAAACTTTTCCATAGTCTTGAGGTAGCAATCATTTAATGAATGTTGGGTATTTGAATTATTTCCATTCTATACCATTCAGAATAGCCCTGCATGTATCATGTAATGACATAGCTATCACTATAAAAACTATTATTGGCCGGGCACGGTGACTCACATCTGTAATACCAGCACTTTGGGAGGCTGAAGTGGGTGGATCACCTGAGGTCAGGAGTTCAAGAACAGCCTGGCCAACATGGTGACCCACCTCTACTAAAAATACAAAAATTAGCCGGGTGTGGTAGCAGATGCCTTTAGTCCCAGCTACTCAGGAGGCTGAGGCAGGAGAATCGCTTGAACCTGGGAGGGAGAGGTTGCAGTGAGCCAATATTGCACCACTGCACTCAGGCTTGGGTGACAGAGCAAGACTCCATCTCAAAAGAAACAAACAAACAAATGAAGAAACTATTATTGAGGATTGACAATTGATATTGGTAATACTAAAGTGTTTGTATTGATACTTTTAGATTGCTTTCAAAACATTCCTACCTCATAGGGTTGTTAAGTGAATTAAAAAACATAAATGATGTTAACTTAGCCCCAGCACAGTTACTAGAACTCAGTTGGACCTTAATCTATATCGGTTCTCTTACTCCAGATAATAAGTTTTAAAATTACTTTGACAATTTTAAACATTTGCCACCCATTTAGATGTGCATAGTCACAAAGCATGCTGTGAGCTGGAGGACATAGTACTGGGACCAATAGAACTGCTCCGTTTATCGGGTTGACATCCAAAGGGGGTTACTTCGAGTCCAAATCCTTGATCTAGGGCCAACAACAATTCTTAAAGAAGTCTCATATGGCAGATGGGTTTTGAGGATTGGTAGGTAATAAATGAAGTGAGGAGTATGACTTCATCCCTGTTGAATTTGAAGTAGGTTTGAGGGAAGGATCCAATTAGGAAGGTGTTCAGGGTTCCAGCCAGTTTGGTGCATATCAAAATGCTGAAACCCAGGTGAATCGGGCAAACCCAGCATAGACTGTTACCCAAGTTTTGCAAAATTTCCAAAACCAAAAGGTCAGTGCATATTTAAGGAAACCTGGTAAGTGATAGAATTGGAATTCAAACCCAGGTCTGACTGACCCCTAGATTTCTATATTTCTATCACTAAGTTTATACTGTCTTTATGTGAATTATGTAAAATGTTCATTTTCCTCAAAGCTGTGTGCAAAACACAAAAGTTCTGTTCTTCTGTATTAACGCCTTTTAAATACAGATAAATCTGTAGAGCTGTTATAAAAATTATTTGGAGATACTTTTAATTGTTTCCTAATTATGGGGTACTCTTTTATGAACTCTAAAGAATAACATAATGAAGAATTAACAAGGAAAAAACAGACACTGTTATTTATTTTGTCTAAGTTTATTATCTGAAATAACGTAAGATGCATAAGGTTATTGGCATAAGAAGATAATTAAACACAAACCAAAATATTTTAAGATCATAATATAAGTGTTGCAGGGTGAGATATTCTTATTCCATCACCCTCTGTCATTTTTCACCACTCTAGTTCCGGGGAGAGGGCTCTTAAGTAAGAAAAGACAAAAAGGACGTTGTTAGCAAACACAAAGAGTTGGTTATGCTTTAAGTGTGGTAAACATTAGCCTGAGAAATGCTCTTCCTCTAGATTTCTTAATTTTGTAGGATGCCTAGGAGGGAGAGGACTGATGAAAAGAGAAGAAAATTGGGTAAAACCAGTTGGGCAAGGACATCAGAATCAGTGGATAAAAAGAACTAGGGGATGGTGGAAGGGAGGAGAATGGAGAACAGGGAAGAAGACCAGAAAGAGAAGAATCTGCCAGGTGTTCCGCTGCAGTGGACGATGATGACCAACTATCTTGCTAGGACAGATAAAGTATTTCATTATCTCATAGACTCCCAGCGTGTGTATTCATCATTGCCTAATATGATTTTCTTTCTACCAACGGATTGCACTTTCCAAATGTTAAGGGCATAGTTATCTTAAGCATGAGAGTCATGAGAGGCAAGCAGGTTCTATTTTGGTTAGGAGAGGTGGATGTGGTATGGTGGAGGGTGTTCTAAGGTAGATGGTGGACTAAGAACACCATGAGAGCTGGGGATTTGACAGGCTTCCCATGCTAGAGGAATCCTGGGATGAAGATTTCTCTTTCCCAAACTGTTCCCATGAAGAAACTTTCAGCAGCCGTGGCTTTATGCTTGCTGAAGAAAGTGGTCTAGCTGCAATTAAATATGAGGGCTTCAAATTAGAATGGATTCAGGTTAGCCAACTATTTCATTCACACTAAAATATAACTAGGCTGTCGGCTGGGCACGGTGGCTCACGCCTGTAATCCCAGCACTTTGGGAGGCCGAGGCTGGTGGATCACGAGGTCAGGAGATGGAGACCATCCTGGCTAACACGGTGAAACCCTGTCTCTACTAAAAAATACAAAAAAATTAGCTGGGCATGGTGGTGGGTGCCTGTAGTCCCAGCTACTCTGGAGGCTGAGGCAGGAGAATGGTGTGAACCCAGGAGGTGAAGGTTGCAGTGAGCCGAGATCGCGCCACTGCACTCCAGCCTGGGTGACAGAGCGAGACTCCGTCTCAAAAAAATTAAATTAAGTTAAATATATATGTATAATATATATGTGTGTGTGTATATATATGTTTGTGTATATATATAACTAGGCAGTCAATCAAGTCTGCATGGTATCAAGTTCTTCCCATATTTGATCAGGGAAACTAATGGTCATCTGACGTGTGAGGGTAGTAGGAGGGTAAAAGATGAAGAAAAAAGATTGAGATTATAAAAGAGACAAACCAAAGACTTTACAGTTTTGCCCGAGTTTGACCTAGTGATCCTCATTGGTGAAGCAAAAACAATCTGTTCAGAAGTCTTTCTGAATCACTGCTGGTGTTTCTTTTCTATTTGGCATCATATATAAAGCATTTCTTTTAAAGCACATGCCAGTTTTTTTCAGAGGGACCTTTGTTCTCAGATGATCCATTATTTGTGGTATCACTGCAGAATTTGGGACAAATTTCAACTTATATCATAGAACTCCTTAGTGTACTTTATTAATTCAATCCCCTCGCTCCTTCCCTTATGCCTCCAAAGACATTCTTCTTCCTCTCACTGCCAGAGTGATTTCAGAAGATTCTGTAGCAGGTTCTCGGAAGCCTATTGTGCAGTAACAAAGAATTCCAGCAGTGAGCTGTGAGTTCTGTCCTTGCTGGCTTTCCCAAGTGGAAGGCTACCCTCATCTTTCACTAATGGCAGACTAGGACAAGCATTAACCAGGCCTGCAAGCTTGTTAAGCACTAGGAACCCAAGCAAGAACTCACCATGCCGATCAAACCTGTTGGGTGGATATGTGGGCAGGTGTTGAAGAACTTTTCTGGAAGAAGTACACACAATCTTGTTGTAAAGGGCATATGGGTGTGGGAACAACTGGGAATAAGATCCCCTAGAGTTCCTTTACTTTCCCAGTCATCTAGGAATTTGATCAAGTGTTTCATGTTCTTTTGAAACATTTAGGGGATGTTTTCAAAGTTTTCTTTTTCCTAACCTCTTTTTGTCTTAGTCGAGGGGATCCAGAAAGCAATCATGGACCTTGTAGATGAGTTTAAAGATGAATTTCCCACCATCCTAAGATTATCACAGTCTAATCAGGTAATGTGATTTTATAACCTTCAAAAGGAATAGAAAAAGTATATTCTATTTTTAGTATCATACCAATTATTTAATGCTTGATTTTGAGATCAGTGCTCAAAACTTAAGAAAACACTAATTTTGCCAAAGAAAAACAAATTTCAAATATTACTCATTAAGAGGGGTCTTTGGGAAGCAGACAGATTGTGGACCAAGAAGTGAGGTAGATTGAGAATTAAGTTTAAAGACTAACTATGTCATTAGGATAAACACGTGGCAGTCTCTCCTTGCTACAATTGCAATGTAAAAATCAGAAAAATACCTAGATACACTTAGCAAAAATCTATGTCAATTAAATCAGCGCAAAAACTTGAGATAAATTTTAACAATGGAAAGATAAATACAACATAGATGTGTGTTTAAAGTGGAAAGAAAACAGTAGTATCAATTTAAATAAGGTATACATGTATATTTTTTAAACCTCTGTTCCAAAAAGGATTTGAAACAGATAAAATATTGGGAGTGAAGGAGGAGGGAGGTATATATTTTGAAGAGACATAAAATTAGGAAGAAGTAACAACTTCTTTAGTGAACACATGTAACCTCATTTACTCAACGGTACACAGCTCTTAATGGAAAAATGTGGTTCGGTCATTTTGATCACAGTCGGAATAGAATATGCTGTGAAGGTACGTGGTACAGTAACAATCCACTTATCCAGAAGTCAGGCTCCTGGCAATGTCAAACATGAGGTTTATAGCCAAAACCTGGAGGTTAACAAAAAGCACTCTCAGTAACACGGTAATCACAAAGTATACATATTTCATTCCAAAGGAGAGGTATTACAGCTACCTTTAACCGTGCCTGCAGACAACCAGCCATCAGACATTTACTAAATATCTCACTATTGCTTGGGACTGGAGAGAGGAAATACAGAGATATACAAGATACGATCCTTTCCGCCAGTGAGCTTAATCTAATGGAGATAGAGTTGTAAACAAGTAATTGCATTAGAATATGGTAAGTGTTACAGCTCTATAGCTAATTTAGAGGAGTGAATTACTCGACTGAGGAAGGTCAGAGAAGGCTTCATGGAGGAAGGATGCTTTTAAGTTGGGTCCCAAAGGATGAATAGTAGTTTTCAAGGTAAAGAAAAGAGTGGGATCAGTGGGTAGGGGAAGGGAAGCATATTCCATAGGCAGTGTGGGTTAGGCCCAAAAGTAGGAAGCAGCAAGCGTGCTTCCAAAATGTCAAATAAATATAAATTAAAGGCATGTAGGATAGAAGGGCTGAGATAGGAAATAGTAGAAAATAGGAAATGTAACAAGGAGTTACAATGTGGAGGTCTTTGTATGCCATGTGAAAAAGACTGGACTTTCCCTTATATGTAACACAAATACCAGTCACAGAAAGGTTTTGGGCTTGGAAATGACATTCAGTTTGCACATCAAAAATACTTTTTTAGTGGTAATGAGATCTGAATGGAGGCAGAGCTTCTAGGAAGATTTTGTTGCAAATGACAGCTAAGAGCAAGGACATTAGCATTGGGAATAGAATGAGTTGAGCACAAGAGATATTTAGCATATTTTGAAACTGACAGTGGGGGATGAGAGAGAATGTGTAAAGGTTGAGGAAGATTCTGGAATTCTTGGGTGGCTAGAAGAACAGTGATCCTGTTAACTAAGACCAAAGACAAGATGAGGAAGAGCAGCTTTGGAGATAATGAGTTTGATTGGATCACAGTTTAAGAGGCCATGCCACGTCCTGTCCAAGCCTTGGAGTTGAGTAATAAATTGCACATGTAGGTTGGAAGCTCAAGAGAATCCCACCTGAAGATGTACGTTTGGGAGTCATCAGTGTATAGTGTGTTGTTATAGTGTATAGTTAAACCATGTGTTTAACTATAGTGTACATTTAAACCAAAATGGTAATCATCACTGCTCAAGAAGATTGTGTAGTAACATTAGGGCATAGGATAGAGCCCCGCCAATGCCATTGTTTAAAGGGTTAGCAGGGCATCAGAGAAAAGAAGAAAATGAAGAGAATGAAATTCTATGAAAGCCACAGAAGTGGAGAGAAAAAGGAGAGAGGAATTAGCAGCAGTCAGAATCCTCAAATATGTCAAGTATGGGATATATTTTTTAAAGTTATTTTTCATGTCAGTAAAAATTTAGCCAACATTTAGTGCGTAAAATTTTAGTTGCCCAGAAAATTTACTTAATGTGGAACCCCTCATCCACCAATAATGCTCACTGTGTACTTAAACTGTTATTTAGCAAAAATAATTTTCTGTTCTGAATAGAAGGTAATTGTTATATATGCAGATGATTCAAATTACTGAGCCCATACATTTCTAAAAATAAATTAACTGGGCAGGATGCGGTGGCTCACGCCTGTAATCCCAGCACTTTGGGAGGTCGAGGCGGGCGGATCACAAGGTCAGGAGATGGAGACCATCCTGGCTAACACGGTGAAACCCCGTCTCTACTAAAAACACAAAAAATTAGCCGGGCGTGGTGGCGGGCGCCTGTAGTCCCAGCTACTCGGGAGACTGAGGCAGGAGAATGGCATGAACCTGGGAGGCGGAGGTTGCAGTGAGCGGAGATCGCGCCACTGCACTCCAGCCTGGGTGACAGAGAAGGACTCTGTCTCAAAAAAAAAAACCAAAAAAAACAGTTAGTTGATATGCATTCTCGTATACCATTGAATCGGATGAGTTTTAACTGTCAGGACTTGCTGAACTCCCTTAGCTGTAGTAGAGTTCTGAGACTTGTAGAATGGACTCCCAGATGGTATAACAGAGCACAATACTGATTTAGCCTGTAAGATAATAGCCCTGGGGAAAGAGGACATTCCCAGTATCAGTCCTCATAGGAAGAGGCAGGCATATTAGATACAGCACACCAGAACTCGGACGGTTGGCCTTAGTATCAGGGGAAACAACTGCTTTCTGCCTTTGGCCTCTCTTGGGTCTAGTGTTTGAGGAGGTGTGACACTGAAGTGTAGGAATCTGCAGGCACAGTGGTAAGATGCATCCAAATGCTGGTCAGATCAGCTAAGCAAGAGAGGGTAAGGCTTAAGAGTTTCTGAGGGCAAACTGGGTTTTCTAATACTGTATCTTAGACTTGGCATCCAGTAGCTCCCCCTTTTTGCATTCCCCTAGCCTTGGTATAAAGTCTTTTGAAACATTGGAGACTATTTTGGCTATGCTCTGGAGTAGGAAGGAAAGAGATGGGCAGATGTACATGCCTGGTCAATGTCAAATAGGCCAGCACAGTAGTAATTATTGAGAAAGGCTCAGGGTGAATCCTAGGAAGTCAGAGACAGGCATGGAAAACGTTGTTATTGTTTTCAAGTTTTGATTCTCCCACCATTGCTGAAATCAGAGAAACTGGGGTTTTATTTAATCAAAGAAATGGCAACTTCATTCATTCATTTCTACCTTCTGAATAGCCTCATTATCATTAGAACCATAAGCATGGTTTATGGTGACATCAATTGATTGAATATTGTGATCCCCAAAGATAAAGCTGTGAGTTCCTATTTCCAACTAATTGAATTTACTTATAGAACTTTACCCAACTCAACTAGGAACATAACTAGTTACTTTATTTCTCATTTTCAAAACACTTAACATTGGTCTTTTCCCACTATTTCCTTTGAAGAATGTGTTGCTGAGATTGGCAAGAAACTTGAGTAGTTAGGGGATAATATCACATATTTGAAGTTATTTGCCCTTCAAATATAAATTATGTGGAAAACATTCCTAATACTCAGTTGTTAAGCAGATGAGTTTTAAAAGGTTAGAATGTAAGTGCTGCAATTTTTTTTTATTTCCAGGATGATCCATACTTCCCAAACACAGGGAAAGGAATGGTCTTAAAAATTCTTAGAGGGCTTTATTAATTGGGTTGTATCTTAAAATTCTAAATTTTGTGATTAGTATTTAAATCTCTCCCTGCCCCCAGGCTTGTATTTATTTAGGAAAAGGCCATCTTGCTGGCCTAGAACAAAAAAAGATTTGATGGGAGTGACGATGGAATTTTTATAGAGGAATATACCTAGAATACAACCAGAATACGGATTACTAAATTGTTCTTCCTGGATAGATTTTGAAGGAAATTTTCTTTTTGAGGCTGGGAAAGTTACTTGTATTTTATTTTACTTATTTTTTTGAGACAGAGTTTCCCTCTGTCACCCAGGATGAAGTGCAATAGCACAATCTCCACTCACTGCAACCCCTGCCTCCTGGGTTCAAGTGATTCTCCTGCCTCAGCCTCCCAAATAGCTGGGATTACAGGTGCCTGCCACTATGCCAGATTAATTTTTGTATTTTTAGTAGAGACAGGGTTTCACCAGGTTGGCCAGGTTGGTCTCAAACTCCTGACCTCAAGTGATCTGCCTGCTTTGGCCTCCCAAAGTACTGGGCTTATAGGCATGAGCCATGGTGCCTGGCCAGAAAGTTAATTTTAGAATCCTGGCTTGAGATGATGGCTTTTGTGATTCAGTTCTTTCCACCTCTTCTGTCCCAACCAGCCCAGACAACAGCCTTAGTATCTACTTCTTTAGAAAGAGTAATTTTTAAAGGTTTACACTTGCAAATTTCAGAAGATTTCCATAAGATGAATTGAAAATAGTAAACCTTTAAGTTATGTACTACAGTTGGGTATCTAAAAAATTTTAATTCAGATGCTCATTCTTGGAATAAGATAAAAATATCTTAGGAAAAACAGGGTCAATTTTTGTGAGTTTTTTAAATATGAAAGATGAATATATCTTTTTTCTGTTGTCTTGTACTTAATCATATACTACAAAATAGAAGTTGTAGACAGGACATATTAGAATCCATGCCAAAAATTTTGGAGTTTTATGCCCTTAGATGTACTTTTCTGAATTCTCTATGCTTTTTTGTTGTGGTTGGTTATTGTTAATGTGTGAAAAAAACTGCTAAGAAGGCACCAATGATGTTTGGAAATTACCTGTAATGGCATTTAGGTTTCTGAAAGTAATGAGACTATGACTGTCACAAGAATGCTCTGTAATTCAATTATATTTTTGTCTTTGGTGAGTTGTTTCTTGTGGAGAATTACCATTATTGTGAAAGTTATAGAATTGTGCACTGAAAACTTTCTGTGTGGTTTCTAATGTAATATTTGGTATACTTCTTTGATGTTTCTCAAGATTAATTTGTTTTATTTTCTGATACTCTTCATTCATTCATTCTGACAAAGATAGAGTGTGTATTACGTGCCAGACACTACTTTGGCTCTGGAGAAAAAGAAGCAAGCTAAATGGATATAAAACTCTTACAGTTTATATTCCAGTCAAGTAAAAAACAATGAACAAGGAAAATAAACAATATAGTACATTAGTGGTAAGCGTTAAGGAGAAGAAAAACTATAGCAGAGAAGGGATACAAAATAGAAGTGCAGGGATAGAGAGCACAATTGATGATGTGGGTAGAGTGACCAAGAAGGTCTTAGTGAGAAAGAGATTCTTGAATGAAGATGTGAAGGAAGTGAGGGAGTGAACCTTGGGATGCTTGAGGAATCAAATGGCATAGCTAGTGCAAAATCCCAGACACCTAAAAACTTCAACAAGTAATGAGGAAGGAAGGGAAGAGAAAAAGATGAGGCTGAACAGGTGAAGAAAAAACAACCTTTGTATGGCCTTGTGGACCACAGTATGTACTTGGGCTTTTACACTGACAGCAACTGGAAGCCACTAAAGCAGTGGAATAGAAGGAAAATATGATCTGACATAAGTTTTAATTAGATCTCTCTGGCTGGTGTATTGATGAACAGAATGAAAATAGGCAAAGGTGGAAGCAGAGAAACCACTTAGGAGGCAAATTCACTAATCTGGAAAAGAGATGATGGTAGAATTCAAATATAATAGATTGGGTGCTGTACTGGGGGTAATGAGAAGTGGTCAAATTCTGGGACAAGGTAGAGAAAGAATTTAGTAAGATTTTCTGACAGGCTAGTTTAACAGATATAGAAGAGTAAAGTTCAGCATTATAATTGCCAATGACAAAGAAATGGGTATGGCTGTAGCAAGAAAAAAATAAAAAAAGAAAAGCAAGATATATATTTAAAGAGTAGAGCTCAAATGGAGAAGTCAGTTAAGAATTCTTGTTTACTTAAGAGCTCTTTAAAAATTCAGTGCACATTTGTTATAGTATACACTGCTCGGGTGATGGGTGCAGCAAAATCTAAGAAATTACCACAAAAGGATGTATTCATGTAACCAAATACCAACTGTTCCCCAAAAACCTATTGAAATTTAAAAAAAAAAAATTAAAGTAAAAATTCAGTACACAAAATATATAAATCTAGGAGGAAAATGAAACATTTGTATCTTTTGGCTGGTTACTTCAATTCTTGATATTTATCCCAGGGAAAAAAACCAAATATATATATATATGTGTGTGTGTGTGTGTGTGTGTGTGTGTATGTGTGTGTGTGTGTATATATATATATAGATTTAAGGGTCAGGCGTGGTGTCTCACACCTGTAATCCTAGCACTTTGGGAGGCTGAGGCAGGCAGATCACCTGAGATCAGGAGTTCGAGACCAGCCTGATCAGCATGGTGAAACCTCGTCTCTACTAAAAATATAAAAATTAGCTGGGCGTGGTGGTGCTCGCGTGTATTCCCAGTTATTCAGGAGGCTGAGTCAGGAAGATCACTTGAACCTGGGAGGCAGAGGTTGCAGTGAGCTGAGATTGTGCCATTGCACTCCAGCCTGGGCCACAAGAATGAAATTCCATTAAAAAAAAAAAAAAAAGATTTAAGTACATGGCAGGGAATTCAAGGGGTTTCATGGGGCAACAGAATCATTGGACATTGAATATATGCATGACACCATGCACAAGGTAGTTATATAGTAGTCAGTCTCTGCCAGAAGTAGTTTTAATAATGCATTGGAGTATCACACATCAGTTACTTTTCAAAGGCCTATTTTTCAGAAAAGAGAACCTGCGCAGAAAACATCCAAAATCAGGATGGCTATTGCTTTAGCTAAGATTAATCGAACAACATTAATTCGTGGATTAAACAGCATATCCAGATCCTCCAAATCAGTGGCCAAACTTCTGCATCCTCAGCTTGCATGCAGACTTTTAGAGCTAAGGGACATATCTGGTCGTCTGCTGAGGGAAGTTAATGTGCCAAGGCAACCCCTATATAACACGCAGGTAAGGGAATACTGCATATGCACAAGGACCCCTTTTTAAGAAACTTTTACATTTGCAAAACTTGAAAAATAAAATGTGGTGAACTTGATTGTCCTATGTATAAAACAGATATACCTGGATAAGAGAAATGAATGGTTGGGCCTTTTTAAAATACAGTGGAATCTTTGGTTTAAATAAGTTTGAAAAGGAAAGCAACATGGACTTTTTTCTACCTTATTGTTTAATTGAACTATATGAAACTGTCCATTTCAAATGGTGCAATTTAAATATATGCATGCAAATTACCATTTATGTTAAATCTAACATAAATTTTACAACTAGCCTTAAAAATTATTGTTTTGTTCCCTTTTCCTCATAACTTTGTTATGTTTCCAAGATAACCTTTGTTTGACATAATATATTGAGCATATTTACCTATAAATTCAAATTACGTTTTCTACATTGTCTTATTGAGGCTCTGTTATATTTTGTTGAGGACCACAACTCTTAAAACTTTTTTGGAATCAATTTCTTGCTTTCTAAACTTCACGGCACAGAACTCAAGAGTTTTTCAATCTGGGCATTATACAAATCATCCTAAATTTCACTACAAAAGATTCAGAATTTTGCAATTCTGGCATCTAAACTGCAGGACGAATTAATTTGAACTCTCTGTTGGAGGAGAAGAAAATGAGGCTCAAATTTAGTTAAACCAAAAAAGAAGATGTATTAGCTCCTGTAAACAACCCAGAGCTGTTAAGATTCCTGACATGTCTGCATACAGGTATTCCTGGCTTTCCCCTCATAGTTGCAAGATAATTTGCAGCTGTTCCTTGGCTGTATTCTTCCAGGTTCTATTTCAGCAGAGAAAAAGAGAGAGAAAACCCCTGACCCCACTTCCCTAGCAAAGTCTCCAGGTCCATTCCAAGAGCATGGCTTGTGTTCTCAGAGCTTACCTCTAAACCAAGGACATGCGATGCACTGATTGGCCTAGAACTTGATTACCTGCTTATCCCTAGAGCTGGGATTGGAGCTCTGTCGAGACCACATGACCTGAGAGTGGTGTGGAATGGGGAAATCCTCAAACAAAACTCTGGGTTTCTTCAAGAAGGTAAAAAATGGATCCTGGATAGCTGAAATCAACAAATACCCTTTATGTAGGAGTCGCTCTTTAATGAAAGATTTTGACATTTCTAGAAAGCATCATATATTTAAGCTACAAATTGCCTGAGAGCAGCATTTATAAAAGGCTTTTATGATTTCTGATGTCTGAGAAAGCAAAAAATGGTTTGTGTTTGCCAATCACTGGATTCTTTATGAACTACAAGCCTTAATCCTGTATCTTTAGATCATTGAAAAGAAACATAGCTGTGGCTCATGCCTATAATCCCAGCCCTTTGGGAGGCCAAGGCGGGTGGATCCTTTGAGGTCAGGAGTTTGAGACTAGCCTGGCCAACATGGTGAAACCCCATCTCTATTAAAAATACATTAGCCAGCATGGCAGTATGTGTGTAATCCCAGCTACTCAGAAGGCTGAAGCAGGAGAATCACTTGAACCTGGGAGGCAGAGGTTGCAGTGAGTCGAGATCGCACCTCTGCACTCCAGCCTGGGCAACAGAGCAAGACTCTGTCTGAAAAAAAAAAAAAAAAAGAAAAAGAAAGAAAGAAGAAAAAGCAAAAGAGAAAGAAAGTTAAACCATATTATCTTAAATCCCCGCTGAAATATCTTTCTAAACCTAATGTTTTGACTTCATGTTCCCTTCCTTGCATTGTCAAACCTATAGTTTTTATAGAGGGTTGGTAGAAGAAATGTCTTTTGAAGAACATTTCTGTATTTAATATGAAATCATGTTTAAAGACACCGGTCATTATGCTATTCAGGGTCTTCCTTTTTGCTTCTCTACTAAGTCAGAACTGGGAAGGATCTGAGATCTTACACTACCCGCAAGCTAACAAATTAGCCTGCCACAATTGTACACACACATATGTGCATGCACACACACACACACACACACACACACACGAGCCTTGGGTCACGAACACATGGTTTATTATTCACAGTAAAAGCGTCAGCCAGAGCAGTATCTTGTGCTGGTTCCCTATGCTTAAATTCCTTAGGGCAATGCGATGCGGGCCAAATGTTGCCTGTGCGCACACTATGTTGCATCACAGGAGAGAGGAACCTTGAAATCAGGGGACTCTGGGGACACTGGCACATCTCCAAAAAGATATACAGATGGAGAGACAGAGAGAGGGAGAAAGAGAGAGAGATTAATTATTCATTACCCTGGAATATAAGTAAATGTTTCAGGGAAAAAGGAGAGGGCTTTATTTTTAGTGGCCTATGACATGTTCAGGGAGGTACATGTCTCTCTAGAGGGATATACTTTTTCTACTTTGCAAGGCTGTTTGCTATTCAAACATGTCCTTTGCTCAGAAGGGCCAATCTGCACAGGAATGAGAGAAATCCATGACGACTTATCTCCCAACACTTACGAAAATTCAGTGGCTAGAAAAAAAAAAAAGTCTTTCCAGTTGAATTTGTGTGTTTTTATCCAGCAGTAAGAACTAAGAGACATAATCTGTTTGCCTTTTTACTTTGACTGATAATGAGTTTCTGAGGTAAATTTAGAGATCAAGTGTGATAACTTATTCCAGGAACCTAAGATAAACAGGCTTAGGGACTAAGTGACTTGCGCAAGGTCAGGATGTTAACTGTGACTATCTTTTCTGACATTAAAGTCCATGACTGTGAAATCTCTTCTTCTTTGCCCTTATTCTAATTGTCTTATGTTCTAGCTTTAATTTTACAAATTCTTATCAAAGAAACATTTCAAAATGTATAGAAGTTAATTGATTAGAAGTCCCATTTGAATTTAAACTAGTAGTAATATTTTGCTATATTGCCTTCAGATCTCTCCTTTATAAAAAGAAATATCATTAACCATGCCCAATTCCTTCTCCTTTCTTCTCTACCAGAGGTAATCACTTTTATGAAGTTGATGTGAACATTTACATGCATACTTTTATATTTTCTCTACATTTGTATGCATATATTAATGCTTTTTCCCCAAATTTCATGCTTTTTTCTTTTCAAAGTGTCTTTTACAAGTTTATTCCTTTTAAACTATTTTCTTTAATTATTTTAAACATATTTATGTGTGGTCTTTTTAATGATTGTCCTGAGGTATTTGGAGGTGCTAATTTTTCTATTGTGATCTATATTGCATCTCACCTATAGATAATTTTCTTATAATTTTATTTTAACTGAAACTTGAAAAGAAAAAAAAACCTGAGTCTTGTTTTTTTTTTTTTTTAAATCCCTTTTGGCCTTAGGGGTGAAACTGTCCCTCTAGAGAAATTGTGCTTGTTGCTCCAGGGATACCAGCAACCTGAGACCAGTCTTTATGTTTTTTTTTCAGCTTAAGATTCCCTGCTTCACACTGATAGGGTAAATTCAGATCTCTTTATAAGGGGCAAACTTGGAATTTTAATCTCTCATGGGAGTCCCACATGGAGACCAGCTTCCTTACTTTCTTCCTCTACTGGTGGATGCAATTGTTTGAGTCCCAATTTCACTGAAATTGCAGTTCTGCAAAGGCTTGATCCCCACCTCACATCTATCCAAGTATCATATCCAGTCCCTGTATTAATACTCAAGCACCCAACCATTATCCTAGGGTCCAGTAACATCTCCAGAGTTCCTGGGATATAAGCTCATACACTTGCTGCTCTGGCTTTTAGTTCCCTTTTTGTTCCTGGCATTGGGGGCGGAGGGGGAAGGTCCCTTTCCTTTTTGTAAGCTCAGTTTTGTATTACATCTTTTGAGTTTCATTTTTATAGCATTTCTAGGTGTTTTTTGTGTGAGATGCTCCACATTAGCTCAGTCTGCCATGTGTATGGAACCAGATGTCTTTCAGCTTCACTTCTTAATATCTCCCTTTACAAGTTTTAAGATGATTAAATTTATTGGAAGTGAAGTATAGTTCTACTTTTTTATTTATTCAACAAATAGCGGCCAGGCGCAGTGTCTCACACCTGTAAGCCCAGCACTTTGGGAGGCCTAGATGGTGGATCACCTGAGGTCAGGAGTTCAAGACCAGCCTGAGGTCAGGAGTTCAAGGCAGGAGAATCACTTGAACCCGGGAGGTGAGGTTGCAGTGAGCCAAGATCGTGCCATTGCACTCCAGTCTGGGCAACAAGAGCAAAATTCCATCTCAAAAACAAAAAGTTATTGAAAACCTGATATGAAAAATCACTAGATTAGGTACCAGGGACTCAGAGATGTCTCACCCTTGTCCTATGGACTGTGGGGCTCACAGGCAAATAAGCAGTGTCAGTAGGATGCAGCAAGTGCATGATCAGAGTATGGAAAGTACACTACAGAAGCATCAAGAAGAGACATATAATTCCAAAGAGTGGTCCATGTAGACATTCTAGAGATAGGATACTGTATCTGAGTCTTGAAGGAGGAATTAGCCAGATAAGAAGTAGGAGAATCATTCCAAGAAAAGAACAGTATATATGAAGATACTGAGGTGAGAGAGAACATGACTTAGTTGGAGAAGATAAGTAGTTCCGTATGGCTAGAGTGAGACAAGTGAGAACAGTCCCAGGTCACAGGTTCCAGGGTCCTTGAGGGCTGGGGGTTAGGAAGAAGGTTTACGTAGGGAGTATACAGTAGCTAGGGTTGATAATCAGAATTGCCAGAGAGGGAAAACTAAGTTGTAGTAAACAATGTGTCTCAAATCTCAGAGGCTCAGTGAGGACAGAAACAGAACTGACTATGAGGACAATGGCCTGGAGAGTCAAAGCCACAACAGGAATGTATGAATTGTGGCAGAGGTCAATGGATTGGTCTGTAAATGGAGTGTATCCATGGTACCAGAGTGTGCTGAGAGGAAAGTGCAGTAGTATGGAGAAGCCACATCAGACAGAGTTCAGCTTATCCAGAGTGGATTCCAGTGTGAATTCCTTTAAGAATTGTCAAACTGCCTGTCTCAGATGGAGCTTTGTGTGGGGAAGTAAAAGGGGTGAAAGCTGGAAGGACTATGCAAGGGGATATGCTTTGTGGATGCATGAAAGATAGAACTCTAGGAAAACTTAGCTGTAAGAAGGTAAGTGGCCTGGTTAACTTATCTGAAGGTATCTTTCAAATACCTTCTGGATGTGTTCTGTCTGGTCACTGTTTTGTGGATGACAAATGATGAAAAAATGCATTGGTAGCTGGGGCACCTTAAATAGCTCTCCCAAAACTCTCTATTATATGGCTGAGAATACCAGTGAGGCCAGGTGACTTCCTTTGGAAACAAAGAAATAGAGTAACATTTTCATTAGGACACAAACAATAACTAGAATAGTGTTTCAGCTCTTTGACATGGGGAGTTCTGAGATGCAGCATCCAGTAATGGTCTCCTCAAAGTGAAGAACGGACACTGGCTCAGGAGCTCCCTCTACCATCCACCCGGGCCTTTCTGATCGGATGTTCAGCTCTAGAGCATGCTTAATATGTCATAGCGTATTGAAATGTTGTGCCAAATAGAAGCCTCCCAAAGACCCAACCAACAGGAATGGCCTAAAGCGATTCTAATGGCCTGTGACATGTGCACAGATGGTTGGGGTCAAGCTTTTCCAGCTGGCCACCTTGTTAGAAGAGGGTTCTTTTGGACCTGGCTCTATGGATGCTGAGTAAAATTATTCCTCAAACCCCTCCAGGTTCTGCAGGACTGAGACTGCAGTGATAGAATTGTAGCTAGTTCTATAAAAAGCCTCAGGAATGGAAAACTCTTAATGGAGAATTTCCTGGTAGTTTTCAACATCTCCAGTGCCAGTACTTACAGAATGGTGCATCTGCTTAGTCTTGTGAGCTGCCTGCCTGAGTGGAGCCCGCAGCTGCTCTAGGCTGCAGTGACCTAGATAATCGCCTTGAATGTTGACTTCAGCCAAGACACGTCAGCTCCCAGACATCGTTGTTGACTCTGGCAGGCCAATGCAGGGCCACAGGACCAAGAGCTCTTCCTGTGATAGACTCATCCCTATAATGGCATTAGAGTTGACTGTTTCTACTTTGTATATGCATCGTGGCATGGTAATAAGATAGGGACCAAAGTGAAGAAAATCCTCAGCCTTTACAATGCCTGGACTGTAGGTGGATCCCAGTGAACTTGTGTTCTTTTTTCAGGAACACAAGGATCAGAAACTTATCTACGTAAAGTTTCTTCCTTACCCCATCCTCTAAGTTAGACTCCAATTTGGGGTTTAAACTATAAACCTCATAAATATCCGGAAGTTCTATAGGTCCTACTTGGGCCTGCCATGAGGCTCACTTGGCTGGTATAATCTAGACCCAGAGAAAGAGGATATTTTCTAGATAGTAGAACTCCTGGGCTCTTGAAGACATACAGTACTCCTCCACTTTGGCAAAGGGATTAGGACATTTGAGTCTTTACAGGACCACTGGATTAAAAACTTGTTTAAGAACAATGTTCTACAGACTGTTAATACTGGGGTTAATAAATTCAGGTAGCTTTCTTTAAAGTCAGGAGTCTTTCCTGTATTCAAAGGTGTTGTAAGTTGCTAAGCAAAGACACATTCGTGTAGCTTTTCCAAACTTACAGGAATACTTTTTTCCTGGACCTCTCTGTAAGTAGCAGTCAATGTTTCCTGCAACATTTGTCTGAGAGTTAGAATTTCCCCTATGACTCCCCTTGTAACTCTCATCAGGGTGGTTTTGGACAATGTAAACTATATGGGGCCTGGTAATTCTCCAACCTTCAGGTCATGTATAAGTGAATCTTTACTTTCTAAACTGCTCACTGTTGACTTTTTTGTGTGATTTATCTTAATAGTGAAAATAAGATGAACACACATCCTTCTTTTATGAGATAAAGCAGTCAAAATTATGTGGAAAAAGTTGAATTAAAGGTTCAAAATGTTTTTACTGCTCAAATATCCATATATTTTACGCTTTACATGACCAAATTTAAAAAGAAATGTATGAACATAACACTGATACCAAGATATTTTTTAACTCAAATATGCACATAAAGTGAAATTATATAACAAGGTTGAGATAAAAATTTTGAAATAGGCCAAGATCATCTAAAGACTGCCACTTACTAAATTTCTCCTGTTTTTTATCTTAGCTTTTACGGTACACTATTCCTGCTCAAAGCAAGACAAAAATGAAACAGCATGGTTTATAATATGAAAAACATGTTTTTAAAGTGAGTCATAAAGTTGAAAAATGGCTACTTGCCAGTAATCACATATATTTTGGAGGAAATATATTTTCTTGTTACAGGAATAAAAAGTAATTATTAAAAGCATTAAAATAATTTAAAATGACCTTTAAACAATATAAAGATTAATTATTCAGAAGCATAACATATATCAAGTACATAATTTATTTTGAAATTAATCAGCTTTAATTACTTTTACGTGAAGGACAAAACCTGAGAAAGAAAGATGTAATAAAACGGAAAGAATAATTTCTCATGTAGATACCCGTATTAGTCCATTCTTGCACTTCTATAAAGAAATACCTGAGTCTGGGTAATTTATGAAGAAAAGAGGTTTAATTGGCTCATGGTTGTGTAGGCTGTACAGGAAGCATGGCAGCATCAGCTTCTGGGGAGGCCTCAGGGATTTGGTATTACATTTCAACAAGAGATTTGGTGGGAACACAGATCCAACCCATACAACACCACTTTTATTTTTATTGTATATGGCCTACCAATGATTGAACATGGACCTCCCACTATGAGTTCATATATTCACAAATTCAAGAACCTTTTCACCTGCTAGGAGGTATATTTGCTTTTCTTCCTCCTAGAGAGTCTGCTCTCTACTTGTATGTTTGTCTCCATGTAGCTAAAAGTAGGATTCAAAGGCATACTATCAATTTGATTCTTCTAGCAAGAGAGAAAAAGCAGCAGCTGCTTCATTTCCTGGAAACTCTTTCCAGAAGCCAGGAATTCTGGGAAATACTGCAGGTGACCTATGGAGGGAGGTGGCAGAAACTTTCCCTACCTATCTCTACATCTAGGAGTTAGTATGGCCCAAAGAGAAAGGAGGAAGAAAGAAAACAGCCTTTCCCCAACCCCCAGCTCCCCACCCCCCACTCTTAGCTACTAGGCTAGATCCTATTCGTGGTTTCCTTGTTCTGTAAATCACTTAAGAGGGAAGAAGGAAATTGCAGTGGGCAATTTTGTTCTGCATTCAGTAGTGGCAGCACTAAGCAAACACTGAGAATACTAGAACAGGATGTAGACATATTTTAATAATTTCATTTACAAAAATACCTTATGTACTTTGAACTTAACATAGAAAATATAGAAAACAAGAAAGAATTTAATTTCTCTGAACCTGTGTTCTTATTTCATAGGTTTGTTAGAGGATAAAATGAGACAATGCAAGGAAAGCCAGTAGAACAGAACCTAGCATGTAATGAGTGTTCTACAAATGTTAACTATACAAAGTAACATAACTAAATCATAACAGCAATTAAAATTTTGGTGCATTTCTGTCCAAACTTCTTCTATGCAATGTTGTGTTTATTTTAATCATAAAAACATTGGACATAGAATTTTTAAGCTTTTATACTGAAGTATACAGAATAGTGCACAAATTAAGTGTATAGCTCCATAAATTTTCAGATTGAACACATCTATGAAAATCTTGGTAAGCAGCACTCAAGAAATCTTCTCATGCTGACTTATAGTCACTAACTCTCACTCTTGCTAGGATAATCGTTTCCTTTTTTTTCCAAAAGCATAGATTAGTTTGGCTTGGTTTTACATGTTATATAAATGGAATCAATAATACTTGTACTTACTATTTTGAACCTTGATCTTTTTCTATTATTACTATTACTAACATTCCCTCTCTAATAAGGGACTAATAATGTCCCTTAATGCTACCCATGCACATTTTACTAAAAACGTTAAAAGCATTTTCTTATTTATCTTTACAGCAATTATTCTCAATTTGGAGATGAGAGAACCAAAGCTTAGAGGAAGAATTAATTTGTCCAAGATTTCATTACTCAAGAACTCTGGGACTAGAGATTAACTACATCTATTTACTCCAGAGTCCATCCTTGTAATGCAGTCCTTTACCACTCTTCATGAGCAGTAGGGTATCCCAAGGCAGCGTAGCTTGATGATCAGGTTAACAGCTTGGGCTCTGGAGTACCATTTCCAGTTTAAATCTCACTTTGCTACTTACCAGCTATATTACCAGGGGCAAGTTGCCTACCTTTCTTTTTTCTGCTTTCCAGTTGTGGAATGAGGATAATAATAATACCAACTTCAAAGGATTGTTTTAAGAATTGTGAATACTTATAAAGTACATTGAACAGGACTTGGTAGACAGTGCCATATAAATGTTCATTCAGCAAAAGGTTATCATATGTTCTTCAGAAGTACCTTTTATTTATTTATTTTGAGATGGAGTTTCACTCTTGTTGCCCAGGCTGGAGTGCAATGGCATGATTTCAGCTCACTGCAACCTCTGCCTCCCAGGTTCGAGCGATTCTCCTGCCTCAGCCTCCCAAGTAGCTGGGATTACAGGCATGCGCCACCAGGCCCGGCTAATGTTTGTATTTTTAGTAGAGATGAGGTTTCACCATGTTGGTCAGACTGGTCTCAAACTCCTGACCTCAGGTGATCCACCTGCCTCGGTCTCCCAAAGGGCTGGGATTACAGGTGTGAGTCACTCTGCCCGGCCCAGAAGTACCTTTTAAAAGGCTGCATACTATTCACAATAGCCAACACATAGAATCAACCTACGTGTCCAACCACAGGTGAATGGATAAAGAAAATGTGGTTTACATATACAATTGAATACTATTCAGCCATCAAAAAGAATTCTGTCATTTGTGATGGCAAGGATGAATCTGGAGATCACGTTAAATGAAATAAGCCAGACACAGAAAGACAAGTACCACATGATCTCACCCACACGTGAAATCTTAACAACAAAAAGTTGGTATCATAGAAGCAGAGATGAGAACAGTGGTTACCCAGAGACTGGGTGGGGAAAGGGGAAAAGGGAAGGATGGTGAGAGGTTGTTAAATGGGTACAAAATTACAATTAGACAGCAAAAATAAATTCTGGTGTTCTACTGCACAGTAGGGTTACTATGGCTAATAATAAAATATTGTGTATTACAAAATAGCTAGAAGAGAGGATCTTTTAACATTCTCACCACAAAGAAATGATAAATGCACAATGTGATACAGATGCTAACTACCCTGACTGGATTATTATATAACATAGATTTCTATGGAAACATCAAATTGTGCTCCTTAAATATGTACCATTACAATGTGTCAATTAAAAATACATAAAAAGTTTGAAAAAATAAAAAGATTGCATAATATTCCACTGAGTGGATATAACATAATTTTCCTAACTATTCTGGAATCATTGATTGTTTTGGTTTTTTCATTGTTATAACTCTTTCATGAACGCTGTCTAATGAACATTATGTGCATGTTTTTACCATGCATTTATATGATTTTATCAGCTACAGCCTGTACCTTTTGGAAGTTCATTGAAGCCATTGAGTTGCTTGGCTCATACTTCAGAGGAGCCTGGCTAACTGCCACTTCACTGCTGAGTGGAAAGGGAATGTTTTTCCTGAAGTCCTCATTTCATACCCTGCTCAAGGCAACAGAGGTGACCCATGAGACAGTATAAACTGAATATGTTACGATGATATGTTTCAGGCCGGTACACCTACTGCCAGAAACTAGAAACACAGGAGAGGCAACTTCATTATTGGTGTTAAACTTCTCTGTGTTTCATGAGAGCCTGTTGCATATGAGCACAGAACATTTTCTGAAGCTTAATGATCATCTAAGGTTAATGCTGGCCTTCAGCAGTCTCATGATTAACATTTCCAAGCAGGTCATTAATCTCTAGGAAAAGCTTATTATTTTGATTGCTGTTTACCTGAGGTTGTGAATAATTAGTAAAGAATGATTACATGAATTTGAACAAAGGAAAGACTGTTTTTCTCATATGCACAGCAGCACCTCCTAGTGTGCACGGTTGGTAATTGTGAGAAGTTAGTCATTTAGATTGCAGAAATGCAAGATTTTTACAGATTTGTCACAGGTTTTGATTAGCACAAGAAAGTGTCTTCTTGTTAAAAAAGGAAAAGTAAACAATTTTCACAATGTGAAAAAGCCCAGATAGTCTAAAGTAGATGACTTTCTTTAGAAAAAAAAAAAATCTCATTTTACAGTAACATTGTAAAATATGACATTGAAACATTCAAAATGTTTGTTTATTAAGAAAATCTTTTCTGTTTTTGCAGGTCAGAAAGGGTTCTTTGTTTGAAATCATCTCCTTTCCAGCAAAGACTGCTTTAACTAGCATAATATATGCTTCATATGCAGCACTAATTTATTTGGTAAGTTAAGAAAATTATTAGAATCTAGAAATAAATCTACTTATGTAATGTTAATAATACTGTGCAATAGTATAGTGTACAATATTTCATGTTGCCATTCACAGTCTCATTACACAAAACAATTTTTAAAATTTCCTTTTCTGATAAGCCAGGTCAATCTACCAAAAAACAGTTTGCTTAAATAACTAAAAAAAATTTTTTTATAAAGTTTATTATTACCACTTGCATATTTTGATCAAGAAATTTAGTTTTACTTTCATTTAGCTAGAGTTGTTTTGTTTCAGCCATTGTGCCATGGCTGGCTAAAGTTCAGTATTCTGTCATTTGGGGTCTCTCACTTTGGGGAACACAGGTACTAGTGTATTTTGGATTACAAATGCGTGCATGAGAAAAATGTAAAAGATTTTTTATATTATAAGGGTTTTATTTTCTATTAATAGCCACTTAAAGAAACTATAACACACAAAAAGGAAAGTGTACAGCTTAATGAATTATCACAAAATCTATTAATCTTTATACTACCCAGGTCAAGAAACATTACCTTAATTCCAGGAGCCTCTTTCTTGCCTCCCACAATCACTTCCCTTTCCTATATAGGATATCACTATTTTGACTTGTAATACTACTGATAGTTTGACTGCTTGAATTCTATATAAATAAAGTCATATAGTACATATTCTTTTGTGTTTGTCTTTTGCCCAACACTGTTTTAAGATCATTCATTGCCTGTAGCAGTAGCTTGCTCATTTCACTGCTGTGCAGTGTTCAACTGATTGACTGTATCAACATTTATTTATCCATTCTACTCCTGATGGACATTTGGTTTATTTCCAGTTTTGGCTACTATGAATAAGGTTGCTATAAATATTCCTGTACGTATCTTTTGGTGAAACTGCTAGGTCATAAGGTATGCATGTGCTGATACCTAGTAGATATTACCAAAGAGTTTTCTAAAGTGGTTTTTTAACAATTAACACAAATCTCAGATTTTATAAAAGTCCCAGTTGCTCTGCATCATTACTGACAGTATTGTCAATCTTTTGCATTTTAGCCATTTTTGTGGGAATGTAGTATTATCACATTGTGGTTTTAATTTGCATCTCCTTGATTATTAATGAGATTGAGTACCTCTGCATATATTAATTGGACATTTGGATATCCTCTTTGTACATTTGTTAAAATCTCTTTTTTTTTTTTTTGAGACGAAGTCTTGCTCCGTCACCCAGGCTGGAGTGCAGTGGCCAGATCTCGGCTCACTGCAAGCTCTGTGTCCCGGGTTCACGCCATTCTCCTGCCTCAGCCTCCCGAGTAGCTGGGACTACAGGCACCTGCCACCACGCCCGGCTAGTTTTTTGTATTTTTTAGTAGAGATGGGGTTTCACCGTGTTAGCCAGGATGGTCTCGATCTCCTGACCTCATGATCCGCCCATCTTGGCCTCCCAAAGTGCTGGGATTACAGGTTTGAGCCACCGCGCCCGGCCCTCTTCTTCCTTTTCTATTGAGATACCTTTTTTTAAAAAAAATTTGATTTTAATGATTGCCATTCTAACTGGTGTGAGATGGTATCTCATTGTGGTTTTGATTTGCATTTCTCTGATGGCCAGTGATGATGAGCATTTTTTCATGTGTCTGTTGGCTGTATGAATGTCTTCTTTTGAGAAATGTCTGTTCATGTCCTTTGCCCACTTTTTGATAGGGTTGTTTGTTTTTTTCTTGTAAATTTGTTTGAGTTCTTTGTAGGTTCTGGATATTAGCCCTTTGTCAGATGAGTAGATTGCAAAAATTTTCTCCCATTCTGTAGGTTGCCTGTTCACTCTGATGGTAGTGTCTTTTGCTGTGCAGAAGCTCTTTAGTTTAATGAGATCCCATTTGTCAATTTTGGCTTTTGCTGCCGTTGCTTTTGGTGTTTTAGACATGAAATCTTTGCCCATGCCTATGTCCTGAATGGTACTACCTAGGTTTTCCTCTAGGATTTTTATGGTATTAGGTCTAACATTTAAGTCTCTAATCCATCTTGAATTAATTTTCGTATAAGGAGTAAGGAAAGGATCCAGTTTCAGCTTTCTACTTATGGCTAGCCAATTTTCCCAGCACCATTTATTAAATAGGGAATCCTTTCCCCATTTCTTGTTTCTCTAGAGGATGTGGAGAAATAGGAACACTTTTACACTGTTGGTGGGATTGTAAACTAGTTCAACCATTATGGAAAACAGTATGGCGATTCCTCAAGGATCTAGAACTAGATGTACCGTATGACCCAGCCATCCCATTACTGGGTATATACCCGAAGGATTATAAATTATGCTGCTATAAAGACACATGCACACGTATGTTTATTGCGGCACTATTCACAATAGCAAAGACTTGGAATCAACCCAAATGTCCATCAGTGACAGATTGGATTAAGAAAATGTGGCACATATACACCATGGAATACTATGCAGCCATAAAAAAGGATGAGTTTGAGTCCTTTGTAGGGACTTGGATGCAGCTGGAATCCATCATTCTTAGCAAACTATCACAAGAACAGAAAACCAAACACCGCATGTTCTCACTCATAGGTGGAACTGAACAATGAGATCACTCGACTCAGGAAGGGAACATCACACACCGGGCTATCATGGGGGGGGAGGGGGAGGGAATGCATTGGAGTTATACCTGATGTAAAGACGATTGATGGTGCAGCACAGCAACATGGCAAAGTATACATATGTAACAAACTGCACGTTATGCACATTACCCTACAACTAAAGTATAAAATAATAAATAAATAAAAAAAAAAAAATTGATTTTTACTTTAAAAAACATATTCTAGGAGCCTTTTTTGATTACATATGGAGAAATTTATTCTTTGACTTGCCTTTTCATTCTTTTAGCAATGTCTTTTAAAGAAGAAATTCTTAGCCAGGCATGGTGGTGTGTGCCTATAATCCCTGCTACTTGGGAGGCTGATGGGGGAGGCTGAAGTAGGAGAATACCTTCAGCCCAGGAGTTTGAGACCAGCCTAGGCAAAATAGTGAGATCCAGTCTTAAAATAAATAAAAGCATATCATAATTTTAATGTCATCCAATTTATTAATCTTTTCCTTTATGTTAAGTGCTTTCTATGTCAAAGAGAATCTTGACTTACACCTAACATCATGAAAATATTCTCCTCTGTTATATTCTAGAAGCTTTATTAATTTACCTCTCACCTTTAGATTTATACTCCATCTTGAACTAATATGAGGTAAGAGTCAAATTTTTCCCTATGAGTATCCAATTAATCTATTTTTTCTTTAAAAAAGCCCTTTTCCTATTGTCCTAGAATACTTTTTTTTTTTTCCATAAATCAAGTGTCCTTTATATGGGTCTGTTTATAGATTCTCTGTTCTATTCAGTTGGTCTATTTGTCTATTCTTCCACCAGTTGAGCACTGTATTAATTACAGGACCTTTATAATATATCTTAATAACTGGGAGAATAAGTTCTCTTTCCAGTTCACGAACGTACTATTCCTTCTGTTTATTTTGGTCTTCTTTAATTTCTTTTAATAATTTTTCTGTTTTTTTGTTAGCATTCTTACACATTTTTGTTAATATTTTATATCATATTAAAACATAAAAGAAGTCTCAATTAAGAGCCAAGCAGGTGTGTGCGTGTGTGTGTGTGTAAGTGGACTAGATCTAAAATATACAGGCAAGTACATAGGGTCAAGAATAGCTAAATACCCTTGAAAAAAGGTAGAACTTACTTTTAAATGTATTAATTCAGTTTTTACAAAACTAAATTTATCAACTATTTTGTCACTGTTTTAAATTTTCAAGAAGTATTCAATATCTTAAATGTGAAACTTATACAAAATTGGCATTCAACTAAGCTAGGATGCAAATACATTGCACAAAATGAACAGGATGACATGTCTATGGGGAAATAAAAACTAGACTAACACAAAAATTAGATTTCAGTTTCTCAAAGGCTGTTGAAATCATCTCACACAATTTGTCATGCCATGAACTTTGTAAGTAGGTAATAGAAACAAATCTGATAACTGGTCATATATGTATCTAAGGCCTGGGAGAGGTCAGGGTTAGAATTCTGGTTCTGAAAACAATATATATGTTAGATGTTAATGTCCTATGAGTGGAATCATGTCAAGAGAAAAGGGTGGTAAGTCAACAGAAATATGAAGAACAGCAATATTTAGGTAAGCTAAAAAAGAATCCATTTGGGACACAAGAAGCAACAATCAGAAAGGCAGAAAGAAAATCAGGAGAAATAGTGCCAAGGAAATAGAGACTCAGGATGTTGTCAGTAGTTAAGTGTCAAATACAAGCAGAAAAGTCAAGTAAAATGAAGATTTGAAGTGTCCATTAGATACAGTAGTAAAGATGTCGAGGTTAACCATCTCGAAAATTATTTCAGCGGCATAACTGGATAACGAAGACAGAAATAAGCAGGTTTCAGAGTGACAGAAGGTAATAACATGGAAACAGAATCTGGTTTAACTAAGAAGAGAGAGTGTGTAGCAGTCAATAGAGAAGCAGATTTTCAGAGATTTTTAGTTTTTAAATTTTAGGATGGAAGATACTCAAGCATATTATAGACTGCAGGGGAAGAGCCAGTCAAGAGTAAAGAGGCTGAAGAGACAAGGAATAATTGACAGAGAAGATGGTAGGATGTAGGTTAAAAACAAATATAGAAGGATATTGACCTTGATCAAGACCGTTCATTTTCTGAGACTGGGAAAAAGGTGGTTAGAATGTGCACAGATAGAATTTTTTGTTGGTGAGGGAAGAGAGAATGTTTCAAATAGGACAGAACTTTCCAATCCTTTTCACAACATGACATTCATAGAAAATGATCATATTTGGGATAAATGGATGAGGCTGTTTACAGCTAACGGTCATGACTTTAAAGGTTTCTAGCGCCGGGTTTGGATACATAAAAGTGCAAGTAACAAAGGATATGTGAATGACAGTACCTTAATCAATAAAAACACTTAAATATCTTAATTAGAAGTTAGGAGTTAGGCAATTCCCAGGTTTGTACAGTTAGGTCCAAAATATTATCAAAGCCCAGGTCTGAATGTCTGTGCTTCCCCCAAATTCTTACGTTAAAATCTAACCCCAAGGTGGTGATATTAGCAGGTGGAGCCTTGGGGAGGTGATTAGGTAATGAGAACAGAGTCCTCAGGAATGGAATTAGTGCCCTTAGAAATGAGGCCTGAGGGAGCTGCCTTGTCCCTTCCACCATATGAGGACATAGACAGAAAACCAGCCCTCACCAGACACTGAATCTGCCAGTGCCTTGATCTCGGACTTCCCACTCTGCAGAACTGGGAGAAATAAATTTCTATTGTAAGCTACTCAGTTCATGGTATTTTGTTACAGCAGCCCTAAAAGCCTAAGACAACGGGGTCTTTCCCTCTTTTTCTTCTAAAAACTTGTTTTCAGTCCTTAGGTTTGTTGCCTCATGATCAAGCATCACATCAGTGTTCAAAGCAGGAAGAGAGAGATAGAGAGAAAAGACAGTCTATACAGGAGGAAAAACTTTTCCAAAAATCTTTTCTGAGTTCCTTCCCAGCAGACATATCATTTTATTTCATTAGCTACAAGATAGCTAATGAACCAACTGAAGGGAAGTGAGGAAAAGTGTCTGTGTTCCTCAATTCTATAGTGAGAGGCAGGCAAGGAGGAGGAGGCAGGAGGCAGGAGGGCAAGAGGAAGTTGAGGCTGTTCAAGCTTGAGGACCTCAATCCTTTGGCTGTTACCTCTAATTTAGGAAATCTTGTATGTGTTTATAATCTTTTATATTATCTTGAGGCATTTTTTTTTTGTGAAATAAACTGGTTTAAGTCTTCTCATATTTCATAAATTTTCTGTTCTCATTGCTTGCCTTAAATACTTAGCATCATCATCTTCATCATTAGTAAACTTACAGAATAAGTTTAATTAATGCAGTCCTTAGTGATTCTGAATTTTTGAAGTTATTTTTCTCTGTTTTATTTTTGACACTCCTCTCCTTAAAGTACTGAGTGGCAGTTTTGGAGGGGATAGTGATCACATATTTGCTCAGAAACCGTTGATAGTCGCTTACTAAATTCTTACTGATATGTTGATGTCCTTTCATTGTACATGTAAGTATAAGCAAAGTCTAGGGGGAAGAAAATTAAAACAAAAGAACTACTTTGAGAAAACCATGTTTGAGGACAAATTCCATCTCTCAGAAAATGTTTCATGTAATTACATCAAGAGAATAAAGATGCAAAACATCTAATGAATTGGGGGAAAAGATGTAAAACATATTCATGGAAGCATACTAGGTTTTAAATTGTTCTCTAGATTGTATTATTTAGAACAGTCTCGCAATGCTTATTATATTATGTGCCTGCAGGTCCTGAAAAGAAGTGTTTTTTATTAGATTATGTAGATTAAATGACTTTATTTATGTGAAACACTATATTGTATGTTTTATTCTGTGGTTAGTAGCTTAAAAAGAAACTTTACTTTTCAAACTATTTTTATTGTATAGGCGGTCTGTGCTAATGCTGTGCTGGAGAAGATAAAGAACATCTTCCAGGAAGAAGAATCCATAAGGCAAAACAGAGAGGAGAGGGAAAATTGTAGAAAAGCCTTTTCTGAGCCTGTGCTTTCAGAGCCTATGTTTGCTGAAGGTGAAATCAAAGCAAAACCTTACAGGTCACTGCCGGAGAAGCCAGACATTTCAGATTACCCCAAGCTTCTTGCTAATAAGCAGAGTAATAAGATCCAAGTTTTACATTCTGTGTTTGACCAATCAGCTGAAATGAATGAGCAAATCTGAATACAGATATCACTGAACAGAACCTAAGAGTTATCTATTTAATGGCACATTTCATCTGACAAAACTCAAGAGTCTAGTTTACATATTCTGAATTGCTCTGCTTTCTTAAAAAAAAGAGAAGGGGGCTACTATTAAAATGTCATTTTCTAGTATTTACATGATAGAGTAAATAAAATGAATATTGATGTGGAATATAGGTACTGACTATATACTTTTAATGAACAAGAAAATCCATCCTTTGGTGGGTGAGACTTTACACTGTGGTTTATAATATAAGCATATTTATAATACATTAATATTTTTATTAAAGACTTGTTTTGAGAGTCTAATTCTTTACTTTGGAGGAAAAAAAAGCCCTATCAAGATGCTGCATATCAAATTAAAAGGATAATTATTTTTTATATGCAGACTGGAGAGTTTGAGTCTGCCTATTATTATTTTGTAAATCACTTGTAAAGTTATGAAGGATTTGCAATTCACAGATGTCATAAATTTATAAAACAAAATATTTACAAATGTGATGAGAAGATTTCTGTACATGAAGACAGTACATGATATGATATTTTTTATTTCTACAATTAGAGATATAAATTTAGAATGAAAAATCAAGTGCACACTACTCATTATTCCCAGTGGCTCTTACGAGAAAATATTTCTGTAATTATTCCTGCAAACCAGGGCTACAGATTTTGCCTGAATAAAGTACTTTGATTTTCTTCTATACATTTTGTATTCTGGACACGTGTTAAGACCTGACTGGGCATGGAAGGATTATCACATGATAGAACAGACCGGGATGTACCTTCCTGAGAGATAGTATATGTTCTGTACGTAGTGAGTAGTTGCTGCCACAAACAGTATCTATAAAAAGCACAAGTCTGGTTCGTTGGTTGTCTGAGAAATGAGGACCAAGTGCTACTCATGCTATCCATACTCCAACAGAAAAGGAAGTGTAATAATATGTAGCAAAGGTCCCTGTAAGCAGAGTCTTTACTATATAGACCTTATTCATTTACTATTTTTATAATAACCAAGGGAAAGAGTCCAGGTCAGCTCCTTAGAATGTTAAGTATTAGATTTAGATTCTTAATGTAATTCTCCTCCTCTAAACGTATTACTGTGCTTTGCAACTAGGTTCCAATCTTGACAAAAAGTTCTTCTCACTCTGAATACATCATCTACTCATTTTGGCTATTTCTGGTCCCACATAGTGGTGATTTATGCATGAGCACTGACGATGCAAAAATCACCACTATGTGCTGCTGATTTTTGCATGGTGGGTGTCTGGGGTGTTATTTTAAATACATTACAGCTAGTATGGTATGAGCACCAGGCAAGTGAACAGTACTGACCATAAATAACTGACATGATAAAACCAGGGTGAACCAACTGAACATCAACCTTGCCTGGGAACTCCAAGGAACAAAACCCTAGATCTCCTCTCTATAACATTTATAGGAGACACTTAGTTGTGCATATATTCACATAAAGTTCTAAAAAATTTTTAAAAACCTTTATTTGAAAATTTCATATAGGCATTCGAAGTACACTGGCTCACTGAATAGGAGACTTTACATCTCTCATGGCTGGGCAGCAGCTGGGTCTGGCTTCCTTACTTCAAGATCTGCCTTGATCATAGAGAAACTAAGCCAAGGTTTATTTGGTTTTGATGTCTAGCACAGTGGTTAAGTTTCTTATTTTCAAGTTCAGCAGGTAAACTTATCTCATTTTTGGAGGTATTTTTAAAATATAAAAAGTCTGCTATGTTATTTGGGAAAGTTGTACAGTTCAGATGTGAACATTTCAATGTATTTAAACTTTACCTAAAAATGTAAAAATAACAATCAAATAGGAGAGGTAGGGAATCCATAGAGATATAAATAAAACAAGAATGGAAGAATGCTGATAACTGTTAAAGCTGACTGATGGAAGTTCATTATATAGTCTACTTTGTATATATTAAAACTTTTTCAGAATTAAATCTGCTACATCAAACAGGGATTTTTTCCTATTTTAAAAATTAAATTAAAAAAATTTTCTTACTAAACCTTAATTTTTACCTATTATTTGTTTACTCCAAATTTATTTTCATCCTTCTTAAACAGAACATCCCAAACCTATAACCTTCAGGTTCTAATTAATCCAGAAGATTAGATAAAATGTATTCTATTGATCCTGATAATCCTTACATCATACTAAGTATGTGTGCTCTTAAACCTCTCAAATTTATATGAGTTTTAAATAGTTGTGCCTATGTTGAAAAATTTCATCACCTTTAAAACTGAAGCAGTTATTCTAAAAATGTTTTCAAGCATACACAATATTTTTCATTTCTATTTTTTTTCTTTTATCGAGAAGAACTCTTAATTACTTTGAAGTCTCCAGTGGCATAAAAATCAGAGTCACACTTAAAAGGTTCACTAGAAAGAGTCACATAAATATTCCCATTGTCTACTGTCACTGTGTGAATCCTTTGCTTTACTCCTTTGGAGCACCACTTGGGTTTTGCTGATGGATCTTTAGGGTTTATAGACTGGTACAGACCTTCTCCTGTTGCCAAAGTAATTTTGTATTTATGCCAGGGGCAAACTATACACGGTCGTCCATCAAAATCCTGGGGAAGAGAATAACTCATTTAATATTCTGACATGTCACATGTTCTTGATACACCATAGACTCTGAAGAGAATCTGCTGCAGAAGAACCAGGTTAAAAAACAGGTTAGCTTTTCTTTTTTCCTCCTATTTACAAATTATACAGCATAAAGCAGATCCTAATCTGAGAAGAGTCATCAAGCTCTTTTACAGTTGATCAGAAAGCCAGTTAGAGCTCTATCAGAAGACTGACATGCTCAGGCAACTAAAACATGTGACTGCAGCTGTGCGATTATCTATTAGATGTCAATGTCACCTCCTTGACAGAAATGGGGCAAGGACTTCAAGTGCTTCTATAGGAATTTTCACTAGCTTCTGGAATTTTCACTAGCTTCTAGAATTATAAGGTTCGGATATAAATTCAAAAGGAGTTACTAAAGGCATGAGTGCATATGATAATAGAAGAGCAATCTGTGATCCAAAGTAGTTAATTCTCAACTTTTTAACTGTCTTGGTGAAGTGCTTCTCAAACACAGGAAGCACCTGGATCTTCAATGTATGTTTCAATGTATGTCTCTCTGTTTAAATGTAGTACGTCTAAGGGGTTGGGGTGACAAGATTCTGCATGTCTAAAAAGCTCCCATGTGACACCAAAGTTGCTGGTCTATGGACAACAGTTTGAGGAGCAAGGTCTTCAAGCTCTCATTATGGACTGAAACTAGGGAAAATTCTATGAAACTATTATCAGCTCACAAATGTAAGTGGGTGCTTTCATTTTTCCCCTCTATATCCAAAAGTGCAGGAATACTGATTTGTACTTTCATTTGGTGACTGATTTGTACTGTCAGCAAAGATTCACATTTTCATAATTTACATTACATAAAACTGTCAGCAAAGATTCACATATGTGGTTTTGAACAATGGGAAAAAATAGAAAAAATACACATATGTTCTTTAACATGACAGGTGTGTACACTCATCAAGTGTAGAGAAAGTGGAATGCTAAGTTCAAGTTTGTACTTTGCATCAGTTAGAGAGAGAGAGAGAGACCAATTTAATGAAGAAAGAAGAAATTTAGGTGACTACTTTTGGAATCCAAGGAAGCAAAGACAACTTCTTCCTCAGTTAAGACTACCGTGTGGTTTATTTCTTTAAAAATATATTTATACTGTATATTTTTGTTATAAAAGTAATATATACTCATTGTAAAAAATTCAAATTATGCAGAGTGTATAAAGTAAAAAGTGAATATTTTTTTTGATGAAAAAAATGAGATCTCATAAGACTATTATCTTATGACTTGCTTTTTTCAGTCACAAATACATTATTCACATCTCTCCATACTCATATAGATCTGCCTCATTAATTTAATGATTGCAAGGTACAGTTATTCCACAGCATGGCTGTATCATAATTTATTTAACCAGTTTCCTATTGTTAAAACATTATAATGAATAATTGCCTTCAATTCATTATAATAAATAATGCTACAATGAATCATTCCTATACAAATACTTAAACATCTGTGCAATTATGGCCATAGAATAGATATAGAGTATAATTGCTAGGTCAAAAGATATGCATATTTCTCATATTTATCTTATGAATTCCAAGAATACTTGAAATTATACTCAAAGCATTAAAATATAGTTCAAACCAACTATAAATTAGTTTTGAATATATGTATATGCTGAATTTGCTGAAAATAAATTTAATTTTACATACCTCTATGTCTCCCAAATGTAAAGGTCCTCCTGAGTCTGAAAAGGAATCGGATATTACCTGCAGTCACTAAAAAACTGAAATTTTGATAGTTTTATGGTTTAAAGTTTTACAAATGAAAAATAAAATCTTACGGTAACAGCGAATATCCATAGCATGATATTCTCCCTTGTGGTAGAAAATGACCACTTCTCTATCATGGACAACAGCTGTCATTCTTTCAGATTTTTTAATGTCATCTTCTCTGCCCACACAGACAGAAGAATATTCCCTCTTTTCAGGATCTTGTGCAGAGCCATCAAGATTCATGCTAGTTGAACGTAAAGAAGGAACGTTACAAGAAGTATTCACTAATTTGGTTCCAACTTAATGGAGATAACCATAAGAATGAATAGTTTGGACTTTTCAAGATTAATGGAGGCACTTTCTGTAGCTACATAAAACATTTATAAATACTGGATTATTATTATTATTAGTAGTAGTAGTAGTAGTAGTAGTAGTATTTTGAGACAGAGTCTCACTCTGTCACCCAGGCTGGAGTGCAGTGGCATGATCTCGGCTCACTGTAACCTCCGCCTCCCAGGTTCAAGGAATTCTCCTGCCTTGGCCTCCTGAGTAGCTGCGATTACAGGAGCCCACCACCATACCTGGCTAATTTTTATATTTTTAGTAGAGACAGGGTTTTGCTGTGTTGGCCTGGCTGGTCTCAAACTCCTGACCTCAAGTAATCCACCCACCTCAACCTCCCAAAGTGCTGGGATTACAGGCATGAGCCACTGCGCCCAGCCATACATACTGGATTATATTAAGTAGACAGTCATTACTTTGCGTTAGAGACTCTTAAAGACTGCCAAAATTAGGGAGGATTCCTCACTTTGAGGCTAGAGTTATATTAGATTCATTTCGAGGTCAAGAAGGAAATTTCAGAACTTATAAAACATAGAAATTTAAGTTTCACTATCCCTTTATTTCCTATCAAATTTAACACTAAACAACATTCAGTTATTATCTGCATTGTTCTCAGCCTTCTGCTAAAGGCAGGATTCTTTGATTGTCTGAATAGTCTTCAGCCTCTTGGCTAAGGTGGTCCACCTGGTTTTGCCTAGAGTACACAGTTGGCTCTTACAGGCACAACCAGATAGCTATTACAGCAAGAGAAGATGGGTATGAATGAAAACTTTTCATTTTCTTACCTCAGATAAAAACTGGTCACTGAGATGACAGCTGAGCTGAAATGCCCAAAATGCAAATGAACTAGACATGCCAACAGCTGGGGGAAGAGAATTCCATACTGAAGGAATAGCAAATACAAAAGCCTAAAGGAAAGAAAAGGCTTGGTGGATGTGTTCCAGAAGACTGGAACATCATGTGCAAGATTGGTAAATAGGCAGGAGCCAGGTTGTGCAGTGCTGTGTACAGATTTTACTCTAAGAGCAAAGGAAAGCCACTAAAGAGTATAAAGCAGGAAAGTGTGACTTGATTTCTTTTTGAAAGAATGCCCCGGCTCTATGGAGAATGGATTATAGCAAAACAACAATGGATGCACAGAAATCAGAAAGCTAGGGGTCCATGAAAAAGATGGTGGTTTGCCCCAGGGGGTTGACACTGTAGGGGAGAAAAAGTAATAGTAACAGTAGCAGCAGTAGCTACAATTATATTGTGTTAACTATGTGCCAGGCACTATTCTAAGGCTACATTTATTTATTAACTCCTTTAATCCTCCATGATACTAAAAAGGTATCATTATTTTAATTTTATAGTACAGAGAAGTTGGGTTGATGCTACAGAAAAATAAATAAAGATGACTCCCAAGTTTTAGGTTTCTGCAGCTAGGTGAACTGTAGTGCGAAAGACTGTGATGAGAAAGGCCAAGAAATCAATGGTATTTTTTCAGGATGGAAAATCAAAAGCTATATACATTTTGCACATATTGAGTTTAAGGTATCGCAGAGACATCCAAGTAGAGATATCAAGTCAGCAACCAGATATAAGAGACTAAAGTTGAGAATATCTAGAGAGAAAAATTGGGGAGTTTCCAGGTTATAGAATTCTATGGACTCACTTGGAGAGGAAGTGTATGTAAGGAAGAAAGAAGGTCTAAGACAATTCCTGAAGCACTTCAACATTTAGGGGTCAGGTGGAAGAGAGGCTGTAGAGACGCAAGACCAGTAGAGTATCCAAACTATTGCTAATCAAATGAAATTCATTCACAGCTTTCTTCTCTATCTTATATTCTCCTTGAATTGCAAATAGGTGGTAACCTAGAAAAAAAAGGCAGGCAATGAGGCCAAATAAATTCCAATGCTGGTCACATCTGTGTACTAAACAATAAATAATACATGAAGAAAACTCGAGGATCCTAGGAAACTGTCCTGACACTATGGTTGTTCTATAAAGAGTTGGGCCTACCCTGTACCCTTTTCTCTTTGTAAGTTCATTTACTCCCTATATATCCACCCTCCTAGAAATCAAATACTAATTAGTATCCAAGTAAGAGCTTATATTCAGAATATAACCATTACTACTATCTTTTCCCTGTATTTCTAAAGTTTATCTCCTAGTCTACTCTTTAGTATCCTTTTGGCCAAATATAGAAATTAAAAGGTGGGAAAAAAATCAAGACTAAGAAATATCTCAATATTATTTTTAGGAACAGGCTTAAGGGTTATAGGTTTGATCCTGTCCTTGCATCAAAATAATGACTCAGGACAGTGGCTCACACCTGTAATTCCAGCACTTTCAGGGTGGGAAGATCACTTACCAGGAGTTCAAGACCAGCCTAGGCAACATACCGAGACCCAGCTCTACATAAAAATGTTTTTTAAAAATTACCCAGGTGGGTTGGTACTTGCCTGTAGGTTGACTGCTTAGGAGGCCCAGGGAGGAGGATCACTTGAGGCCAGGAGTTTGAGGCTTCAGTGAGCTATGATCATACCACTGTACTCCAGCCTGGGCAACAGAGTGAGACCCTGTCTCTAAAAATATTTTTTTAAGAAAGAAGTTTGCTGTGAAATGCTCAAGATATTAAACACACACTTATCTACAAATATTTAACAAAATTACAAACCAGGTGTCAACTTCAAATAAATATTCTAACTTTAGGAAGATACTTCATCATCCATGCTTTTTTCAAATATAGTAATATTGTAGTATTTCACAGGAAGTTAAATAATATAATGTACCTTTCCTTGATCAACAGGAATCTGCATTTTAATTCCACTCAAGTCTTAGGTTACCATTTTATGTAAAAACACATATATCCAACTTCTTTTTCTTTTTCTTTTTTTTTTTTTTTTTTTTTTTTTTTTTTGAGACAGTCTCACTCTGTAGCCCAGGCTGGAGTGCAGTGGCTCAATCTCAGCTCACTGCAAGCTCCACCTCCTGGGTTCACGCCATTCTCCTGCCTCAGCCTCCCAAGTAGCTGGGACTACAGGTGCCCGCCACCACGTCCAGCTAATTTTTTGTATTTTTAGTAGAGACGGGGGTTTCACCGTGTTAGCCAGGATGGTCTCGATCTCCTGACCTCGTGATCCGCCCGCCTCGGCCTCCCAATGTGCTGGGATTACAGGTATGAGCCACCGCGCCCGGCCCTATCCAACTTCTTTAAAGAAGGCATTTGTACCTCAGTGTACCTAGCTTAGAATGGTTACACACTATGGGCCAGTCCCTTCCCCAAAAAACAGAAAATGTTTTCATGGAAGTGCCAAGTGACTTTAGGCCTTCTGCAGAGAATTTTTCCTGATGGCTTCTCTAAATATTTATTTAAGCCTGTATAACTCATTGGAAGTTTTAAAATGTTAGCAGAAAAAGAGCATGGTTCATTTAAAAAGTAAGTTTATAAAACAAAAATTATTAAGAGTAAAATCTCTAAGTTAGTGTATTAGGAGTGAGCTTTAGAAAAAGAGAATTTATAGGTCACTATTTTGAGAGAAATAGTTCTGAGCCATGTGGAAGACAAATATCAGATATCATTGTAAGTCTAGGCTCCAAAATTGAGGTGTAGATAGAGAGGTATGTGTGTGCATGTTTGTGCATGTGTGCATGTGTGTTGATGGGGAGAGGCAGGGGCTTTGAATTCAATGTATAAAGGAAGGCATCACACATATCAAGCTTAGAAAATTACAGGGATGTCAAATTTACACTCTGAAGTTTGCATTTTTAATTCTTGCTCTAACCAATTTTTTTTTAAATGGGGGGATACAAAATACATATGCTGTTTTTAAAAATTATCTCACAATAAAAAAGAAAAATTTATTATTTTAAAGCAAAGGCAAAGAGGACCAGGGCCATGATTTTCTGGGTTAGCTATGGCTGACAGGAGGCAGGAATACTATCTCTGAATGGTCATCTGGTTTTATTTGATTTGGGCAGGTACTCAAAAGAACATAAATTGCTCAGGTGGCAGTATTTACCTTCAGAGTTGGGCATGCAGCCTTCATCACATTTTGTGACAGAACAGAGGCATAATAATAAGAAAAATGGGAACAGACAAAGGAATGAACTGAAAGAAGGGGAAACAGGCTAAAGAAAAAGAAAAGAAAGAAATGTGGAATTTGCAATACATATAACTGACAAAGGCTTGAGATTCAGAATATATGAATAACTCCTATAGGCCAGTAAAAAAAATAACAAATAATCATAGAAAAATGGGCAAGACATGAACAAACATTTCACAAATAAAGAAATCTGAATGGCCAATATATGTAAAGACATTCAACCTCATTAGCAGGAAAACGCAAAGGAAATGCAAAGCAAAGTCATTAATGTGATACTATTTTCTATCCACCAGGCTGACAAAAAATTATACCAAGTATTGGTGAAAATACGGAACTGCTAGTGATAACATAAATTTGTGCTACCACAGTTTGGCATTACCTAGTAAAGTTAAACATAATAATAATAATCCCACTTTGGGTATATGCCACAGAAATGCACACAGATATACCAGGAAACATACACAAGAATAGTTATAACAGCAAAAAACAAAAACAACACAAAACCCATCAACAGTAGAAAGGAATGTGTGTATGTTCAATGGAATGCTGTACAGCAGTGAAAAATGTATCTCTACATCAAGTTGGATTAATTTCAAAAAACATAATTGCAAGTGAAAAATTTAAAAAGTCAGAGGATGTTTCCATTTTTATCACAAAAGTGGCAAAACCAAACAGTATATTATTCATGGATATATGTACTATAGGGTAAATATATAAAGAAAAGCAAGGAGATAAATATTTCTTAAATGTTTAAAAATACTTATTTCTTATATTTAAAATTACTCTTTTCAAGACTTAAGTTGTATCCTAATTTATATTTATGTAGCAAATGACCCCAAACCCAAGAAAAATGGAATAAAATTGCCCTTTCTATCCTCAGAGAATGTGCCTGTGCATAGATCATGAATGAACTATTTTGAGACTTTTGTACAGCTAATTTCAAAACTTGGCACCAAAGGAGGAATGAATAGTTCTTTTTTTTTCCTTCCAGGCAAAAAATAGAAAAGTACTATCAAAAAGTAATGAAATACAAGAGATGTAGTAGAATATCAAAAGTTAATTATGTTTTCCCAACTCTCAAATAAATGAGAACCAAATACAGGCCTTTCTCAAATTTGAGTCACTACAAACTTACAGTCTTTGCAAGGTTTGCCTCCAACCCGAAAAACTGGTGAACTTTGAAGGGGCTGATAAAAAAAGAGCAGAGAAGACTGGGGCTAAACGATAAAGGCTTCAGAGAACTATGATTACGGCCTTGCATTTTGCTTAGAAAGTATTATTTTATATGTCAAATAATAGTTTCCTCTATGTATCTTAAATGGTACCATTTATAATATCTGATGACTTTTTACATTTAACACCCATATTATTCTTACTATTGTGAATATCATGAACCATTCAGACAACAGGAAAAGCCCATGTGTTCACCTTAATTATCGTTATTTTGATGAACTATTCATAAACTCCCAATGTATTTCGATTTTAAGTCTACTTTAAGATAGTGGAATCTTAACCGAATGAAACAGAACATTAAAGGACTCATCCAGTTTGGGGGCTAGATGAAAACTTCCCCCTGAAAAATTTAGTTGTTGTGTTCCATGTTCTCATCGAGAAAAATTTTTGGCCTGTCCCTAAAATTGGTTTCTAAAGGTGCTAACTCCATATAAAATTACAAATCAGCTGAATGGATACTCGGTCACTATTAGATCCCTTTCCGACACAGGAAATAAATTCAAGTTGAATTTTTAAAAATATTTAGTGTAACTCAAATTTCCACAAGACGCTGGAGATAAAAGAGACACGAAGTGAAACGTACTTACTTGTCACTCCTCTTGAGCCATGACTAAGGTGCTTTTACTAAGTCTGGAAACTTTGCCTACACGTTATCAGAATGCTTATCTCAAGTTTGACACCCTTGCTTTTAGGTGCAGGGAAGAAAAATGTCTTAGTAGTTTCTGAATGGCAGAATAATAATGGCTAAAACTAGCTGTCCTTCAGTAAATGCTTACTGCTTGGACCCTTTGAATATAATAGTTCATCAGTCTTCACAAAACCACCAAGGGGTAGGCATTAGTTTTATTCAGGTAGCACCCACTTTTTTTAATAAAAACATGGGGCTTGCAAGTAAACTACCCTGAAGACACAAAAACCTTTTAGCAAAGCAAAATTTTAGCAAAGCAAAAAAAATGGTGATATATATAGTACTGATATTTATATATGTCACCAAAGATGTGATCACGAGTGAGCTAGACCTGGGTTTGCATCCCAGTTCTGCGTGATTTGGGGCAAGTTGCTTAATTTCGCTGTGCTGCAGTTCTTTTACTGTAAGAAGGGCCCGCAACATCAGGGTGCACATAGGGTAAAGCACATAAATGCTTTAACACACGTCAAATGTTTAGAGCAGGCCTAACGCAGAAAAAGCTCAAAGCGCGTTAGCTGGCACCTCTAAGGTCCATCCAGCTCCGGCAGTTATCCTGCCTAACTTCAAACTGTGTTTAACATTTCGGTAAAGACGGCCTGCAGTTCGGAGACTGCACGTGGCTGTCCAGGTGCTGTAAATTCTCCACTACAGACTCCAGGAGAGAGTATCTCCAGGACGGCCGGGGCTGCGGTAGCCTGGAGCAGCTTCTATACTTTAGAGCGCACGAATGCCATGAAAGCTTGTTAGAACGACCCGCATACCCCCCTGAGGTGGCAGGTCTCAGGTGTAGCCCAAGTTTCAAGGTGAACAAGCTCAGGGGGTCTCCTGTGCCTGGGCGGAAGCCTGCCCTGGCGGGTTAACAGTTAACGCCGAACCGAAACCCAGCAGGCCTCAGGCCTCGCAGCGGCCCGGAGCAAAGGCCACAGGCCAGCAACCCCGCCACAGCCGGAATGCCGAGTCCACGCCCGCGGCCCAGCCGGAAGCAGCTGGTCCCGCGAGCCCGCCCCCTTTGCGGCGAGAACAGAACTTACTGTCCCCGAGTCCTCGCTCCGCCTCCGCGTGACGCTACTGCGCGAGCCAGAGCTCCAGACTCCCGCGGCGCCTCGACGGGGCGGGGCAAGGTCATCCACGTGAACGGAGAAGGCCCGCCCCCAGGACCGCCTCTATGGCATTGCCGGCAGATGACCCTGACCCTGGTTGATAGAGATCGCTGGCCAACAGCGCCTAGCCAGGACCTTCAAACGGGCAGGCCTACTCGTGTGCTTGACAAATGTGGATAGCATCAGTTTACTTTTTAGATGTTTGTTGGTCTCATTACATTTATTCAAATTTTAGATGCGCCCAGCGATTTCGTTCAGGAATTTACCCTATACAAATATTTGCAGGTCTTCGCGATGCTTGTAATCCATGTATAAGGATGTTAAGGCAGGGCGTGGTGGCTCATGCCTGTAATCCCAGTACTTTGGGAGGCCGAGGCGGGCGGATCACCTGAGGTCGGGAGTTTCAGACCAGCCTGACCAACATGGAGAAACCCCGTCTCTACTAAAAACATAAAATTAGCCGGGTGTAGTGGCCCATGCCTGTAATCCCAGGTACTCGGGAGGCTGAGGCAGGAGAAGAGCTTTGAACCCAGGAGGCAGAGGTTGCGGTGAGCCGAGATGGCGCCGTTGCACCCCAGCCTGGACAACAGGAGCGAAACTCCATCTCAAAAAAAAAAAGGATTTTTTTTTGCAATGAAATAATCAGAATAACTAAAGTGATAACACGGAGGAATGGTTCAATAAAACACAGCACAACAGTACAGACGTGTATTACTTCGTGGCTGTGTACTGTATACTCAAAGGACAGGTGCATGATGTAATGAATATTAAAGGCAAAGCATGGAATACTATATGCGGTGTGCTGTCTTTAATGTAAACAAAAATTATGTTTTGAAATACAAACATGCAGGTATGTATATAAACTTTTTCTGGAAAACTCAAAAGAAACAATAGTGGTTGCTTTGGGAGGAGATGGAGAGTTTTCACTTTCATATTTTGAACTTTGCAATTTTGTTTTTTTCTCATTATACTTCCCTGAATTGACAACAACAACAAAGAAAACCACCAAACCTTCATATCTGTGTTCCGAGCTGGGAAACTAGATGAGCCTAAGTTTTTAAAAGTTTCCTTGACTACCTTCCAATGCAGTGGTTCTTAACCCTGGTTATGCCTTAGAGTCGCTTGGGAGTTTTGAAAAGTCGTGATGCCCAGTGTGTATGCCAGACCAACAAAATAAAACACAGATTTATTTGGGGTTGGGGGCAGGTGGGCAGATTCAATATATGTTTTTAACTTCCTGAGTGATTCCAGTGTGACCCCAAGGTTGAACACTACAACTTGTATTTAGTATGGTGACATATTGATCTCCGGCTCTAGGGTGGCCCAGTGAACCTAGGGCAGCCAAAACCCAGGAACTTTGTCCATTTACCTCAGTGTGCCATATAAATGCCATTTTTTAAAATGAGCCTCAACCTGTAAGAAGTTGAATAGCTCAGAATAATTTGCCTCCAGTGCTAGTTTCTTCTGATTCTATTCTTTTCAGTATAGTTTTAGGGTGATCAATAATATTTCATAGGGTCATTACCCTTTTGGCCATTTGTTTCACTGACCCAAACACAAATTAACTATCTAGTTTTGATGTATCACTTATCAAAGAGATAAAATATATTTTGATTTATTTTAATTTCCATTATCTGTTAGTCATCCCAAATGATTTTATTGGCACATGGAAGGTGTTAGCAGTCCCCAGCTTGTCATCAAAGGACTAAATAAGGTTTGCCATTTTAGAAATCCTTTTTCACTTTGTCATATTCTGGACATTAAAAAAGGACACATCTTACATCCATCGACCTTAAATTTGATTTTGAATAAACTGAAGACCTCAGTAGTTATACATGCATATGCACACAAGAAGGATGAAAGAAGAGAAACTTTCTTTTATCTCTACCAAAAGTATTCATATGGTTAGTCATGTGATGTTTGGAAAGCTATAATGGAGGTCAGAATAAACTACCCTTCTTCATTTCCCAAGTACACACACACTCAAATGCACAAAACCATTCACACACAGGCATGCACATTAGGTAACAGCAAGAACCCATCCAGTCTATTTGGAAGTCATTATTGTTCAGAATAAAGTTCATGATTCCTACTGTTATTTTGCCTTTTTTTTTTTTCAATAGAACAATGTGAGCAATGCTACCACTAAGTTTCACCTGTGGCCAACTTGGGGCATGTTTTACCTTTTCTTTTCTTCCTTCATTTGTTTTAGCCTTTCCTTTTCTACGCTTCTAACTTTGGCCTATTAGTGACACCTAGTGGTACCTGTGGCCAGCTTTCCCCCTGATTTTGGCTCTCAATATCTTCATATATGGTTTCAACTGAAAACTGTGAGTCTAGTCCCTCTGCCGTGAGCATCAGGCTGTTTCTCGGCAGACTTTTCAGGTACCAAGACTCCCCTCTTAAAGAAGTTAAAAACTTGTCTTCAATCCTAAGCCAAAATCTGTTTTGACTGCTAGTGAAGGCACTTGTGTGCTGCTAGTTTCACTATAGGAAAGTTTGAAGAGTGTCCGCCGATCTGAATTTCCTACTCCTTTACACTAGAAAAGGGTGATAATACTGCCCTTACTAGGCCCTGGAACTCAGATTATGAGACAGTGAGGGTGGCTCTAAATGCCACCTATGTGCTTATGACTCCTAAATGAATGTCTCCAGACATACGTTTGTTGGCGATGCCTACTTGACATTTCCATGGGGCTACTGTGGCAGAAACAGTGGTGTTCACCAGACATCGCATCGACTACCACACATTTTCCAGCTCCACTTACAGTTTGTTGCGGCCACATAGCCAGTTTTGAACAATGGGTTGTAGACAGAAGCATAGAAAAGCTGAGATGAGACTTCTCCAGTTGCCTCTTTTTCTATCATAAGAATTAACAACATTCTGCATGGTGGAGCCTACACCAGCCTGGGTCCCTGAGTGACTATGCGGAACAGAGACCACATCCCCCCACCAATTCCCTAACTTCCACTAAGCCGTGAAAGTCACATAACTTAAGTGAGAAATAAATTTTTATTATGTTAAGGCCCCTGGAATTTTAAGGTTGTTTATAACATACAATAGTGTGACCTGATAATTCATAGCTATCTCTAATTTCATTGTGTTCAAAATCAAAATATTAGTTCTCTCCCATAAATCTGCATTTCTTTGTCTTCTCCATCTGTATAAGTGACAACACTGTCCATCTTCAGGCTTAAGGGAGAAATCTGGATGTCTTCCTTGACTCCTCCCTTTTTCTTACCGCACCCCTTCTTGCCCGCCCATGCAGAAAGGAGTTCACATAGCTGACCTGAGCCTGCTATCCTTAAAAAGGTCTGCTAGCAAGACTGGCCCTTCACTGACATGTGAGAACTTGGCAGGTAAACAGTCTCTTACTGTTGTGCCAAAGCCCCATTAACCTCAGTAGGAAAGGAACCAGGTTCAAGAGGCCGAAGAACAGACCTAGAGCCAGCAAACAAAACTTAGTGTTTTATTAGGTGCTTACAGAGTCCAGTGGTGGTGGGCTGGGCAGGAAAACTGCAACCGCCTGCAACCATCATGCAGTTTATATGGTATTTTCACTTTATACCCTCCCCCTAATAATCTCCACCTGGCAACCTTCATGTATCCCAAAATTCAGGGCCTCAGTTCCCTGTATTAGATGTTTCTCATAGACAAAGAATTATTCTCCAGGTTGGCTACTCCCAGATTTCCTAGCTCAGAACATGCATTCAGGTGCATCTGCCATACGGGGTCATTCTGAGGGTATGCATAAATTATTGCTATCAGGTGAGTTTACCCGACACCTACACCTACACATATAAAGCTTTCCCTAAATGATAAAAGTGACTCACTGTGCCTAAGCTATTTGTACAAACAATGTGTTCTATGCTGATCCCTTGCCTTCCTTCTGAGATTCTAGAACTTGGTACCTGCTAAGCAGAGGTGCCTGTGACCAACCCCCAATAAAAACTTTGGCTGCTGAGTCTCAGTCTTTCCTGGGCAAAAACATTGCAGGCATGTTTCTACATTTCCATTTCTGGAGGAAGAGTGCAGTCTGTGTGGCCCCTCGTGAGAGGGAGAACACATAGGAATCCTGCACACACAAGTCTTGCACACGCTGCCTGTCTTTTTCTTTACAATCCAGCTGTGTATCCTTACTGTTTCTGTAATAGCGTAACTGTAATGAGTCCCGGAATCTAGTGAATCTCTGAATGTGAAGGTGTCTTAGGGACCCCTTGATATCCCCCCATATCTAATCCAGCACTGAGTCCTGCCAATTCTTCCTAAAATGTATCTGAAATTACACCGCTTCTTACCTTATCTGCTATCACCACCCTGAAGATGCCATCATCTTTTATTTGTGTTGGACTTTGAGAGGGCCCAATAACACCTTTCTTTTATTTTCTGCCTGAGTTTGGAACCAATTGAGAGACACAGAAAGAGATCAAGGTGTGAACTTTATTTAATTATGAACATCTCAATTGGGGTGGCTTAAATGTGCAGCCAAAGGGACTGACAGCCTCCTGAATTAAACTTATGTATCAAAACTCTCTTAAAACTGTCCTCTCCAGAGGACAGACTAGATTGTACCCTCTCTACGGGTACACAAATCTGTAGAAAGAAGAAAGGAGCTAAGCTGAGCATACCGGGAGAAGTGAGTGAAGGTTGGCGATTTGAATAGCTGAAACACTTCTTGTTCACTCCTGATTTTTACCTGCCTGGTGGGACGCCAAGTCCTGAGCATTAAGTAAATGATACACAGCTGACGTAAGTAGGGGTGTGGAGAAGAGAGTCTGATCAGCAAACACCACTGACCCTGCAATGAGCCTGAAGCAAAACACTGGCCATTTGAACCAAGTCAGGCTTAGCAAACACACACAACAGAGCTATGTGGGCCCAGTAAAGGCAAACCCCAGAGGTTTTTAGGTGATGTGGGCCTTGGGTGCAAGCTGCTGCTCCTTGACCTTGATCAACATTCAGAACATATTCATTCTGCTACGCTGAGTGTTA